AATACAAGTACTAGAACATAGTCAGAACTTGCAGAACAGGCAGAGAGAGAGAGTGAGACAAGAGTAGAGTATATAGAGTGAGCCTAAGAGTACAGGACTACCTAGAGTAGACAAGATTAAGACTACAGAACCAGTCTGATCTTGTATACCTATATATACTAAACTATACAAGAGCACTCAGGGAGTATGAGCCACTAAGAATGATAAGCTATAAAGAATGAAAGAAAGGAATATCAAAGATAAAGGTACAAAGAATGAAGGGATGGACAAAGGGTAAGAGACTATAGAATGAATAGAGAATGAAGGAGTGGTCAAAGGAATGGAATGATGAAGTAAGGAAGGGTAGTAGTAAGAGTCAGCATACATATAGTTTATAGACAGTACTCCTGAGGGACAGAAGTCCTGAGTTCTGGTACAGAAGGGTGCAGAACCCTTAGAACTGAAGGTACAGGAGCAGAGAGTCATAACAGTTGACAGTATAGGAAATATATGTTATATAGACTGACTGAATTGTGTTTTTAATTGCTGGATTACTTTGTACAAATTATATACAATACACATCCTTACTCTTTGCTGTAATCAAGTGACTGATTAAAAACTAAATAAGAGAGAGATTTAGTATCAATATAATATACATGTGGTAGTACTTTAGGATTATAAAGATAAAGAGATGGAACAACAAAGCAAAACAAGTCAAAACAAGTTATGAAATTCAGTTTAAATCATAAATGTGAATCCAGTAGCTTTACTGATAAGACTTTAACAAACTTAATTATTTTTCACATTAGCTATAGTTTTGAACTATGCATCAGAGCACAAAGGCAACAAAGCCTAGACTAGATAATGAATAAATCCATTACTATTGTAGCAAGATGTATACATTTCTACACAAAAATGCCCACCAAGTAAAAACTTCAAACAAAGAAATTCATGACTCCATGGTTCTCATAGTCGGAGGCACTTATCTTATGGTACTCATTAAACAAGGCATAAGAGAGAAGTACAATGAGGAAAATGACGGTTCGTGATATAATTACATTACAACTACAACTTTTTTTCATAAGTACAAACATAATACGAGATTGCGGGGATGGAATAAATTGATGTAGATGTGTGAAGAGAAAAATGAAGACGAATGAACAATTAACAACGACCGAGTGAATAGCCGAATGAAGGAAATAAGAAACGTGAAAGAGTGCTCCGTTGAGAAAGTGAAAATAAATGATAACTCTATGGAATAGTTGAACGAAGATCATGTATGGTGTAATATATCAGAAGATATGTCTGATAGGAAAGGTCGGAGGAAGTTATGAACGCGAGTTATCAGTGGAAATAGGGGATCAGGCTCGAGACCATATGGCAACGGTTGTAGTCGTGAACCGGAATAAACCACACCTAGCGGACACGCGCCGTTTCACCCCTCATCCTCGCAAAATGCGCCACAAGGTCACTGTCGCTAAACGACCTCGTCGGCTCGGCTTCCCCACTCACATCTGTTACTCCCGTCTGGAGTCCATGCGCCTGGGCCTCCGAATCCTCATACGTCGGTAACTCACGCAGGGTCTCCAACGGCGGTACACCACTCCCACCCGAGTGCGCAGCCGTGAAGTAATCAGGTACTGTACTCGAGCTCGTACCGGTCATTTCACCAGGCGTCCCAGGCGTGTGGGGATGACTATAGCTATGCCCATGTAAAAGCGCATGCAAATCGCTCGTACTCGCGCTCGTCCCAACGGCATGTTGATGCACATTTGCGTTCCTCCTCGCATGCGCAGCCGTATGCTGAAAATGCTGCGCCAGCGCTGCAGTATGCGACGTCGCATGCCACGGAGCAGCGAAAGTACTTCTCGTAAGCGGTTTCATCGTCACGCTGAACAAACCATGCGGATGTCGAGACGCTGCGTTCGAGACGTGAATGTGTGTCTCGTCTGCACGAGAGACTCCTGGAGCCGTTGTCGTCGCTGCATTATTGTGATCTCGCTCAGGACTCGGAGCGCGTGAATTCGCACGACTGTGCAGACGACCACGCGCAAATGGCCCCCATCCACTTGTCGTTTCCCGGACAGGGGTACCGTCTCGCTCATGTCGACTATTTGGACGCGTATTCGGCCTACTTGATTCTGCAGAGGACGATTCTGGAGGAGTCGCAGCTGCACTAGCATCCCTCCCGGCCTGCTGGGACGAAACATTCTGACTTTGCACACGAGAAAGTGGCGCTCCAAAGGCAAATGGAGACGTCGCAGGGTCTTGTATGAATCCCGGAAAGTTTGTCAACGGGTGTGCACCCTCATGGGAGGGCGTCGTTGTACCCGAGTCTGGTTGCGCAAATGGCCTGAACGGACTTGCCTCAGGAAGCGTCATATCCACCGCAATGCGATCTCGCACATGGGATGGATAACTCGGGAGCTGCACATCTTCCTCGCCTTCCACGCGAGGTGCATCTTCGCCGCCAAATAGCAGCCGACGCGTCGCGAGTGTTGCAGCACGAGCGTCGGCGAGTAGTGAATGGTCAAGGACGTGTAGGGGGAGTGAACAGCGCAATTCGGACGTGTGTCCGTCGAGATTGGCAAGGAGCACGGACCATCGTACCCGATAAGAAACAATAATCGGGTCTAAAGAATGCGAGGGGGTAAGCGATGGAGGAAGAGGGATGGAAATGGTCGTCGTGATTTCGGACGAGTCATCGTTCTCGAGGTTCTCTTGATGGATTAAGTTTGTGGTAGAGTCAGAAGAGCCGGAGTTTGACCCGGAGCCAGAAGAGTCGCGCGTTCCAGACCTAGTAAGGGATAAACCCTCGAACACAGGTGTGGAAGTTCCCGAAACGAATGCTGAAGTCCCGCCTGTGGCATAGCCAGGCGATGAGCCGCCAGACTGACTCGAAGGTCCAGGCAATCCCGATGACTGGCGGTTCTGTTCACCTAGAGTACTTTGCAATGCATTGTGTAATCGTTTCCTCTGTTGCTCCTCTACGCAGACCGCCTGTCCATTGACAATGTCGTGTTTCCGGGTCACGACATTTCGCGTTTTCTCTAAATGTCCACCTCGCTGAAGCATTTTCGTCGTCTCACATAGGTGTGTCGTGACTGAAAGGACGCGAACACCCTTTGCGAGCGGTGCGAATTTCAGAAGAGCCATAAGCTCATCACCAGCAGCCCATGCTTTATGCGGAATCATCAACGCATACATCAGCTTCTCTGGCCAAGTATTCTCAATCTCGAGCGTTTGTTGATATTCGAGTGATTCGGGAGCAAATGTCCGTAAAAGTGTAATTGGGAGCGAGGCAGTAACATTCGCAGAAAACCCAGACCGAATGGCAGTGGCCCGAAGCTTGTACGAGATAGATGCGCCTCCATTGACATATGTCGCAAGACTTGAGGGTAACGAACCACCAAGACGTAGCTCAAAGGGGAAAAGATGTCTCCCAGCCTTGAGCGTATGACTATGCTTCTTCTCACCCTCAAGGAAGGTCCACTCGTGACTGCACACGATATACTGACTCGGAGAAGTATTCAGAACATGTCTGTTTCCAAAAAGAACAAAAGAAACATCCCTCATCAGCACGACATGTAAAATCATAAGATCAGGAAGGACAGAAGACCGGACACTCACGGATCATGAGGGTTATTCGGTACACGCGCCTTTCCACGGAAGACAAGCACGACTTGCTTGATCGAAGTTGGCTCAGCAAGGTGCAAGACGACATTGCCATTTAGCAGTGTAGGCTCAACGTCAACGCCCGTTCCGCGTAAATGCAGCGTATCACTCGCAACGACGATATCAAGCGTTGGCGCGTGTGGTTTCTCCTTCCCACTTGGACTGATACCTTCGGATCGAGTACGTGTATGTTCGCTAGGGCTAGTATTGGGAGCGGAGAGAGAGTGGAGTGCGGCGTGTAAGGCATTGACGAGATGTTCTTCGTTTGCGTGGGTGGTGCCACTGCTTGGCGCGGAATTCGTCCCTGCGACGTGTCCATGCGCCTGCGAAGGCTGCTGCGGCGTCATGCCAAGCAGACTATGTGTATGCGTATTTGGCATGACACGGTGGCTTTATCTACGTGGGTCGAGCCTTGAGGTAGGTATGCCACTGGGTGTTGCAGTACTTTTGTTTGAGTATCAGCTAGATAGCTCAGGTCCAGAAATCCGGTTGCACAGCAACAGTGGCAAAAACTAGCGTATAGGTCGAGCGAGAGGAGTATATAAGCAGAGCAGAACGAGTTGAGACCTCGTCTCTAGAGTGGTGCGTCGAAAGCGGACACGTCGGGGTCGGTGACCGATGCTGACAATTATTCAAGTTTACGATATGCACATGATCCCTTTGACGACGTAGACGCTGACGAAGATGAGAGGGGACGCTCGAAGGGAGGGATAGAGGGAAGGGGTGATGAGGAGTCATACTAGTGGTGTTTTATACGAAAATTGTGCACAGATGGCGACGGTGCGCTGTACGGGACACGGAAGAGGAAACAGGAAACGGACTAATAAGACCTCGGACAGGACAGCACCACTCAGATCTCGGCTCGGCCTCTTCGACCCGGTCGCCGGTAAGGGTCCCGGCACATATCTTATGCTCCCTTTTCCCTCATCCTGCCATCTCCCTTTAATTTTTCATTGCCCTTTCTATCATCCTCTCCTATCTTTTTGCTCCTTTTTTTCGCCTTCCCTGTCTCAGCCGACATTGTATCCTTCGCACGTTCATAGTCTTCAGAATTAGTCTTCAATCTTCACTGTACCATTACTTCCGCATCACTTCCTTTTCCTAAGTCAAGGCATAGCGCAGTGCAAATACACACGGACACAACTAAGGCTGCAACTAAACAGTAAAAACGAGAAGGAGAACATTCCAATAACCCGATGTATTGGCGCCACAAAGTCTTTAGTCGCGCAATATTCAACCTCCACACCTTAAGCTTCTTTGAATCTTTCATCTGACCACTCTCTTTGTTCTTCTCTTTTCCTTTCCTCCTTCGTGAAGTTCTTCCTTTCCATCACACATCACAGACTCACACACCACTGCATCCATCTTAGCCTTCCATCTTCATCTTTGACCCCATCTTCACTGCCAACCTCGAACTTTGATGTAGATTCCATTCGCAGTTCATCTACCACAAAAGTGCTAAACACAAGAATGGAACACTACATCCAGGGGCCCAGAAGCATTGACGAAACAAACGCCGTCACCAACAAAACAATTTGTCTCCGAAGCCTCTGAATTGATAGCGTTCATCCGACAGCTTGCCGACCCACCCAATCCAAAACCCAATCCACGCCAGTTCTGCTGCCATTAATAAATCTGTATTAATCCTCTCGGCTTCTTTCCATAGTCGATTGCCGAAGAGAGGAGTGATCTACACACACTAGGCCTTGTACAGCGCATCCAAGAAGGCTGTTACCAGCTTCTCGACCATTGCTGGTCCGACAGCGCTCGAGTTCCCAAGCCCTGTCAGTCCGTCGTCCACCCGCCATTTGTCGTCGCGGCGTGCCGTGTTACCACAACAGTTTAATCATCCCAGTCACCAGACACAGTCAGACAGCACCACAATCACCGCAGACACCCAGACGCGCCGCCCAGTCCCGACCAGTCGTAGTCCGCACATCCCGCGTTGTTTATAGGCGGGATAGGATCAGGAACAATTCGTCGTTCCGTATTAATTATCATTTGTCAGTTATCAGCGCCATCCAAGGTCCCATCCGTTCATCATCCCGTACATGTTCCGTAATTTTCAATACAGTCCAGACCCGTGCGTCGATCCGATATAGCGTATAACCAGTCCAGCCGAGGACCGAGCGACCAGGGTAAAAGTGTAAGAGCACCGAATTATCGTGTTGTGCCGACATCAAATGCGGTGCAGAGATAAGAAAAGCACGCGTTCGGACGGGCCGGGATCGGATCGGATGCGTGTGTGTTTGAGGTGAGATGAGATGAAGGAGCGGTGTGTTGCGACAGGCGAAATACGGAAGAACAGTTCAAAAAATGACGACACGAGGAAAAAGAGAGGAGATCGTCAGTACGTGTTTTCCGCTAATTTATCCCCTGAAATGAGGAAACCACGAACCATACACTGCAACCATGTTGCCTTGCTTGTCTTTATTCCTGGACGGACTTGCCAATTCCTCGCGCACGCACTCTTTCAGTTGCGTGATAAATTCTTTTACTACCGGGACCGTTAGGCGCTGTTCCCGTTCGTGTGTCCAGACAGTTCGAGAGCCGATCGGCGCCGCAGGGTAGATAGGGCAGGGTCACGAAGATAAGAGATAGAAAAAAAGAACTCATGTTAGCACTCGTCTCTTCAAAGTTCCGGTCGCATCCCTGAGATGTGATGAAAAAAGAAAGAACGGGATCGCGGTACGGCGAACGGCCAACAATGAAACATCAACGAACAACGAGCAATGAGGAAACCTCGGAAGATCTGTCTCCTACCCTCCTTCAGCCGCTGCATCGGAGGTACAAGCATACCAACCAACAGCATGCCGCACCGAAACGTCAAAATTAGGAACATGCGTTACGAATCATCTCGAACGGGATGACTCGGGCAGGCATTTTACACGAACTGCACGGGCTACACGGATAACGGCTCCGGACGACGGCCTGCTAGCCAGCAACGCGCATATGCTCCCGAGGGCCGCAGGTTCAGGAACCTTCGCAAGAAGAAATGAAACGGAAGTAAACCATCTAGCACACGAAGCACAAGGTCGTGAACCAAGAACCATGAGCCACGCAGCGAGAAGAATGCAGCAACGAAGCTGAGAAGCCTCAGCACGAAGCCAAACCGCTAGCTTGAAGCTTCAGGCTCAAAACATCTGCCGCCAACCCTCCCTAGAAATCGAAGCAAATATCACAAATTCCAAACAAAAACATGTTCGGTGATCGCCAGCGCCACCGACATGTGGCATCAAAGAAATTCACACGCAAAGACAAAGCCAAAACATGGCATTTCAGGAAACCGTACGTACCGTACATGCAATATGCACCGCAGCTGGTTTTTGCAAACCATTCAAGTGCCAGCCATGCTCGCTCATACGATCGCCGACAGCAAGAATATCAAGCGCCGCCGGGTCTCGCGCCGCGAACGCTACGACACTCGCGGGTGGTTCGCCGAGTACGTACAGCTCGGGTATCTCCTCACGAATGGCACGAGCAATTTCACGTGCCACACCGACAATTGCCTTGCACGAATTGAGGTACCCACTTCCAGATCGCGAATGTCGGATATTGCGGGTTTCAAAAGGCAACGAGAAGGGAAGTTCATTAATTATCTGCGGTGAAATCGAAGAAACGATTTCTGCGTACTCTTGACCCATGTATTGCATTGCGGCCCATGTACCAGCAATAAGGGAACCCGGTCTGTGTAGAACAGAAGAACATCGATGTCAGGAGATATCGCAAGAAGATCTCGGTAGCACGTACCGCGATCCAGCCATGCTAGGACTTCCGTAAACGCCACCTAAGCAGGGGAAAACGAGAATAGGTCAGGACAAGTGTACACAAGTGGCAACCGGCATTAGACGAGAATAAACTTTTGGTGTCCAGACTAGACGCGTGAAGTAAAACGCTACCGAAAAATCGAAGACATCAAAGGTGGAAATGCACAAATGCAGGAACAAAGGTGGGTAAGAGGTGGAGAGAAAATGAGGGATCCAGACCTGGCCAGCCTGTCGTAATGTAATACTGGTACCGACGGAATTCGGCATTACGGTACATCACAACGGAGGAGCCCTACAGTTGAACCGTTCGATATAGCCAAGTGCAGCTTATTGTTAGCTTTCACTTTCCATAAGTAGTCAATACAGACGCCGTAGCTAACATACCTTCGGAGCGAACCCGTACTGCACCCCAGAATGTACACGAAGACAACGCGGTCAGTGCCACAGTAGCCAGAAAGCACAAAATAAGTAACACAGACCTTGTGCGTGTCGCAGCTGATGCTCGTCACCCCCTCAAGTCGGAAGTCGAATATGCCACATGGATAGCCTGCGCGGTCGAGGAAGGGCACGATGAAGCTTCCGAGGCAGCAGTCAACGTGTAAGCCGATGTTATATCGCTTCGCTAACGCCGAGAGTGCGGGAATATCGTCCATGTTTCCATCGGGGAAGTTCACCGCAGACCCAACAATCTTATTCAAAGCACCCGTGAGTAAATTGTTGCAAATCGGATGATGTGCGAAGTACCATAATGGTATTAGAGTTTCTGAACGGGCACAATATCAGCTCAGGTGAAGCTCTGTGGTCTTGCTGTCACTTACATGGCACGCCTCATCCTCGACACGTTGACCTTGCGCGTCTTGAAGTCTACAGGAATCGTATGTAGTTTGATCTTCAAATATGCTGCTGCCTTGTCGAAGGCTGCGTGAGCGGTTATAGGTATGACCCTTGACGAAGCAACCTTCCTTAGTTCCCTGAGGTGATCCTATTCGAGAAATGCTTGCCTACATCTCTGGCTCTATGATTCCTTTCACTGCATGTGCCCACTCTCGGTGTGCCTTGACAGCCATGATAATGCTCTCCGTCCCGCCACTTGTAGTTACTCCTGCGCCATCTGGATTGTTGTACATGCGCAAGCACATTGCTACAATCTCTGCCTCCATTTTCCTTACAGCAGGGAAAGCGTCCGGATGCAGAGGATTTGAAACACAGTACTTTCGGAATGCATTAACAATTACTTGTTCCATGTCTTCACCGCCATCTAGTGTTAAGAGTCAGCATGGCAATTTGAAAATGCTGCCAAATTTATTCCAAGAAATCATTCAGCGTCTAGACGAAGGAGCAAAATAATAGCAGAATCCGAGACTGGCCTAGAACACAGAATGGCAGTATCTCTACCACACGACAGATACACCAATATGCCTGTCAGAACTAGCTGTTCAAACATTTTAATACTAGCGGATTGTTCGATATGCTTGTCACATATTTCGTAAAAAAAATATGCCGTAGCCATTTTCGAAAACATTGTCTTACAATCGGGAATGGCTCAGATAACCTTTTCTGCCAATTCTCTGGACATCCTGGTGAAAATAACACGATACTCACGATAAACAGCGCCAGACAAGCGCCCGCCTTTCCAGTCAGCGTTCTTCGACTCGCTATCCATCTTGTCCATTTCTTGCATAATCCATTCTGGACTTCTGCCCTCTATAGGTAATGCGAGGTGGCGAACGACATCAGGACCTTTAGCTACAAGCGAGTTCTCAATCTTGAGTTGCGCTTCGCCAAGTTGTGAGTCAACTTTCTTCTTTGCGGCTGGGAAACGAAGAGCAAGCAGAATGACACGCTGTATCGCAATCGCAATGCTTCAGTATTTCGAGAGCATGTCAAGAGAGCTGGATTTTTTTTTTCTTTCAACGTACCTGACATATCCACGACCAGAAGTCCGCAATTGTTTGCCGGAATCCCCGAGCACGCAGATGTCGCTGCGCCTTGAGCGAATGCGTCAGGAGAACATACACGAAGAGTGCAGTTTTGATAGTCTCAAACACAGTCGAGTTCATGACTCGTGAGCGTAATTCCACGAGCATGGTTGAAGGCTTAAGTTGTGATGAAGACAAGAGCATTTGCAAACGGTGAGAGCAAGTGGATGTTTCAGGGGGATAAAGAGCATATTCTATGAAGTCGATCTTGTGTAAGTTCTGATCGGCAATTCGTGACCTGCCGGTTCCGTCAGCGAAAATTCAAATTCAAACGCTCCATTCCGGTTAACCGAGATGACAAATACATGCTGACAAATGGATATTGACTCATCTTTCTGTACTTTTGTGAATTGAGCAGTATTCACGTTTTGCATATGGTCGGTTATATTGTTTCCTGCTGGCCTTATAGCATGTACGCAGTTGGGTGTGCATGATAAAATACTCATGAAATTCTGCACTAATGCAGTAAAATATCTCTGACTGTCACTGTCCTGTTGGAAGCAGTTTTATATTTATAATACCAGTTGCTGAATTTCATATGTGTCGATAGCAGGTACACGAGCCTATCAATTTGCTCTCAGACAGACATCACAAGTGTTTAGTCCGCTGGTCGTCTATTCCTTATAAGCCACAGTTCCTTTGTGAAAGCTCACAATACAGTCAAATTACTCCTCAATAGCAACAGTCCGTTGAAATACGAGGTCCTACAGTGTAGCTGGAATTTAGTTCAATACCAGTCCAATCAGCATTTATTTACTCGCATCTGGTCTCATAAAAGCTTGAACCACATACCTAATTTTCTGTATCCCAAAGCGAATTTACTTCATCCAGAGCTTTTTGAAGCAGCCTATGCCTCACTGCTACACTATCAGGCGAGAACGGCAACATAGAGCACTGTAGTATGCTTTCATCGAAATCCCGATCCAGGAGTTCGTTCATTTCAAATATGATCCTTGGCTCATCCTTCAATTCCTCGCTAGCTTGTCCCATATAGTCCGGAACCTCGGATAACTAAAGGTAACCTTTATGATGACTTGACGCAAATGCTTAAGACGAGTAAATAGTAAGCGGAGGTGCTGCTCCTCGAGGAGAGTAGGGTACGCGAGATCAATGCACATCATTTCGAGAGAGGAGAATTCGTCCATTAGCTGTCCTTGTCCAAGAATTGTTCTGTAGAGTTGCGAGTCATTCGGAGACACAGATCCAAATATATGGAGATGCGTGAAATGCTCCCATGATATTAAGATTCGATCGGCGTCGATACTGTACAAGCATGACGGTCGAACACTTAAACGAGTTAAACGAGGCAATGTGCCATCGGAGGTAAGAGTGTAAAATGAATACGGAATTGTCGAACCATTCCCATCGAATGCGAGATGAACTAGGTTCAAAAGCGGTTCAAGAACACCGTGCAGGGATCGTTTGGTATCCGAATGATCCGCGAAGAGGACTCGTAGTTGTTTGACGTGGCGTGCGGGACGACAAAAAGGTAGCTCTTCTCGTACAGCCGAGGAGAAATGGCAAACCTGATCCTTCGTCTTGAGAGTGACTTTAGAGTATGCGTGTGGCTCTACCCAGGATTTGACAGCTCTGGAAACCGGTAAGAGACGGATAATATATCCGTTGTGTCGAATTGAGAAACGTATGCCTCTAATACGGCGAGTAGGATGTCCTCCGGTAGAATAACAGCCATGGACAAATCTATGGCAATGACCAAAGTCACGACGAAAATTGAGGATAGGTGGTCAAGTGCCAGGATGAAATCATTGTTGATTAAATAGGCGTGGTCAAACCTCGCGATTCAGTGCGCGATTCACCTGCGCGATTCACTTTCATGCAAAGTGAATCGCGGACCCCGGAACCCCAGCGATTCGGGGTGAATCGCGCTGAAAGGTGAATCGCACTTTGACGCGATTCGCCTTGCGATTCACCCCCGCGATTCACCTCTACTCATATCTATTTCCAAATATGTACATGTATTACAAAAATAAAACTAAGCTTCTTTTCACCTCAAAAACAATAAGATGATTTGCCTCTTCCTTGTGAGCACTACAGCATACATACTGTCCTCTGTTCTGCAAAAAATCCTTGTGTTCTCTGCTACCAAGCTCTGTCGTCTTCTTACACATCACTGCACACATATCAAGTCCTTCTTGACATGGCCAAATGTATATGCACGAAAAAAAACTATTTCTTTAATTTTATATTATGTAATTTTAAGATCAAGGGTCGGTATATTGAGGTGAATCGCACATGTACAAGTGTGCTGGTCAAACCTGCACGCGCGATTCACCTTGCAATTCACCCTCTAGAATCGCAAGGTGAATCGCACAGAGAATCGCGAGGTTTGACCACGCCTAATTTATCAGTTCAAGCACGTGCTACTATCCACGTTAAGCCACTTTAATAATAACAACTTTATTCTGTATCCATAACTAGAATGGGTATATTTTGTGCACTGGAATGTGGATACATTCAACATTAAAGGAAACATTTTTGGTAGTGTATACAACGTGAGTATACGTCTGTAAAGGTTTTTTGTATTTGATCTTGGATCGGAAAGAAAAAAGTGTTTGCTTATTAGGATTAGATATATCATATGAGACACGGTGTAGTATATGCGCTATTTTGAAGCTTTCAAGCCATGACTACGTAGTACAAGTTCATAGTTGATACAGCACTGATATGGCGTCGACAGGGCTGTCATTCATTCACCATTATATAAAGACTATGTGGGCACTTACTCTGTTGAGAGTGTTTTGATCACCTAAGTCTCAGTTCTCTGATGCAATAAAAATAATATCGCTGGACTACTTCTTAACAACTGCAATTGTTCAAGACGCGAGTTCTATGCGGGAAATTATCATAAGCTGGCCTATTAATGATTTAATCAGCATCCTTCCATCTGCCTCTAGTGTCAAAAGGTCCAAACTAATTACATACCTGATTTTTCAGCATCCCACAGCTGATTAATTTCCTCTAGAGCATTCCGAATCAACGCATGCCACGCTGCCACACTTTTAGGCGAACTCGTCCGCATGGAATCCCGTAGCGTATTCTCATAAAAATCTTGATCCCGGAGTTCCTTCATCTCAAACACGATCCTCGGCTCATCCTTCATGCTCTTCGCCACGTTGTCCCATAAAATTCGGAACACTGGGTAACTAAAGTTGGTTTTTATGACTATTAGGCCTAATTGTGGAAGACGAGTGAATAGTCCATGAAGGAGATTCATTCTGGCGGGAATGAGAATGTGGAATAGAGCTGCCTCGGCGAAGACTGTATAGTCGATGGTCTCTGTTTCTGGAGGAGGGTATGTAAGCTCGATGCACATTGATTCAAGAGAGGTGAATTGATCGATGCCGCCGAAACTGAAAAGTCTATCGTAGAGTGTTGTATCATGTGTCCCATGTCCAAAGAAGTGGAGGTGCGTTAGACGATCCCAAGGTATCAAGGGCCGACTTGCACGGAAGTTGTTATCAACCCAATATGGTGAATACATGCTCAAGCGAGTCAGCCGAGGTCATAAGTTGTCTGTAATAGGAACGGAATCTGGAAATGGCATTCTCCTCCCATCGAATGCGAGATGGACTAGGTGGACACACCGTTCGAGACCGCCGCCTGAGAATAGCTCGAAAGAGTGATTTGTACATAGGATCCAGAGTCGCTTGACATGACGTGCAGGACGGCAGAAAACCAGTTCGTGTCGTAGGGTATAGCAGGAAATCAGGTCCTGCACTTTTGTCTTGAGAATGACCTCGGAATAGAGTCAATAGACGCGTGGCTCTATCCAGGACTTGACATCTCGAGAGAAATAGTGAAGAAACCGATCACACCCTTTACGTCGGATTGAAAGGTACATGCCTCTAGCACAGAGCAGACAATATCCTTTGGTAGGCTGAACGTCGTGGATGTATCCATGACAATGACTACTGTTTACAAGGTACAGTGTGGTTGAGCCCTGGTAAAGAAGAAATGATTATTGATCGGCACATAACAGGCACGTGATTCATTTTCTAAACCGGTCTTGCATGCACGACTAGCATGAAAAAACGACAGTTAGATTCTTCTTTTGAAAATTCGTTGGTACAGCATGCAACATCGAGGGTGCAGCAACACAATCACAAATCTTCAACAGTCCATTGTCACCCTTTCTCCTACACTCTGATAAGATACCGGGCTTATAGTACCAAACAGTACCAGAAGATCTGAAAAGAGAAAAAGGAAAGCATTTGCTTATTTTGACCAGATGTTCATGTGTGGTGTGGCACGGATTTATATGTCTTGATGGAGGTCGACAAGGTTATCCCCTGGTCCTTAAAAGGACCATGCAGCATTTCGTCCATTGAGGGCGTTTAATAGTACAGCTGATTTACTTCTCAACAACCGCAATCGTTTGAAATACTCCACAATTGAGTATCACTGTAAGCCACTCTAAAAACAATTATTCCAGCATCCATTCATTTATCTCGTTATTAAAAGGTGCGAACCACAGACACATCTAGTTTTCTGCATCCCAAAGCTGGTTTAATCTATCCAGAGTCTGAATCAATCTGCGATGCACTGCCACGGTATCGACCTCGGTCGCCGGGTCATCCGGCATCCAATGCGCACAGAAATCATAGAACGGGCGACTCGATATCTCAAATACGATCCTAGACTCATCCTTCGTATTCTTCGCAAGGTCATTCCAATAATCCCGGAACTCCGGGCCAGTGAAGTAGGTCTTTATGACGACTCGGCGTAAACGTGAGAGGCGGTTGAATAATTCGCGAAAAAGTGTTTCTTGACTCTCTTGGGGCGGACGTAAATCCTGACCTATGATACGGGAGGAGTATCTCAGATCAATGCATAGTGATTCGAGAGAGGTGAATTGGTCGATGCGACTTTCACGCCCAAGAAGTTTTTCATGGAGTAGCCAAGCCTCGATGGGCCCGAATATATGAAGGTGCTTGAGACGATCCCAATGTATTGGAAGTTGTTTTGCGCGGGAGTCGTTATTGATCCAGAACGACGAACAGATGCTTAAACGAGTTAAACTAGGCCATAAGTTAGAGACCTGACGGGATTCTATGAATGCCGTTTCCCCGTCGAATGCGAGATGAACTAGATTCGGGCATAATTCCAGAACACTAAGAGCAGTCCAGTTCAAATAGTCCCTACCCGCTCCGTCTGTGTAGCAGACGATCCGTAATTGTTTAACGTGATGTGCGGGTCGACAGAAATTACGTTCTCCTCGTACGGCCAAGGTGAACTGATAGGCCTGGACCCCTGTCTTGATAGTGACTTTTGAGTATACGTGCGGTTCCACCCAGGATTTGACAGCTCGAGAAATGGTGAAGAGACAGAGTGCGTCCTTTACCGTGCATTGGGACGCGTACGCCTCTATCACAAGGAATTGGATGTCCTCTGGAAGGTCAACAGTCATAGATGGATCTGTGATGAAGACTACTAGCTAAGGCGGATTGTGGGGACAGATAGTCCGGTGCTGGAGTGCAGAGCGTTGATTCACATTCCAGTCATGGCAAGCACGTGTCCCTGCTGAGATTACGCAACTTGTACCGATTGTATACTGCATCCATAAAGCAAATGGGTATAATCTATACGCAGGCATTTTAATTGCGTTCAGCATGAAAATGAAATATTACTAGTAGAGTATACAAAACAGAGTACGCTGCTATGCAATTTCTGACGACTACCGGACAAAACATAGATCACTCTAGACTTCATGTGGCCATGTCTTGTGTAGTTGGGTATACACAGATCTCCGATCCAATAGTCTTTCGTCTTTCTTCTTGCCCAAAGGCTCTCATGAGAAAGTGCCTGGGCTCACCTAAGTCATATTCAAAGGATGCAAGGAACCTGGACTTATATGATGAAATAGAACATAAATGTGTATTGATTACAACTGCGTGCGGCGTCACGGTTGCATTTAACGGAACAGTGAGACTGACACTGTGTAGGATGAGTGTTCTGTTAGAAGTACGGTGACACAATTCGCTGCCTCGTTGGAGAGCAACGAGACTGTACATATGTCCCTAGAAAGACGACACACGTATTCAGTCCGTTGAGGGCGTTCAATATTCTACGCCGCAACTTGCTCATGCAGATTAAAAGTACGGCTGAGTTATTCCTCAACGACTGCAATCATTCAAAATACAACAAGGTCTATGTAGGGTATCACTATATGCTGGTCTAATAATAATCTAGTCAGCATCCGTCCATTTGTCTCTAGTTTCGAAAACGCCAGAACTGCATACACACCTAATTTTCTGCGTCCCATATCCGGTTAATTTCTTCTAGAGCATTCTGCGTTAGTTTATACCAGATTGCCATACTTTCAGGTGAGCACGGCCGCACGGAATCGCGAAGCGTGTTCTCGTAGAAATCCTGGTCCCGGAGTTCCTTCATCTCAAACACGATCCTCGGCTCATCCTTCAAATTCTTCGCGAGATCGTCCCATAGAATCCGGAACCTCGGATAACTAAAGTTGGTCTTTATGACGACTTGGCGTAAATGTGGAAGACGGCTGAATAATTCGCGAAGGAGGTTCTCCTTGAGGTAAAGATAGAATAGAGCTGTCTCGGCGAAGAGCGTGTAGTTGAAGATCTCGGCTTCTGGAGAGGGGTATGTGAGCTCGATGCACATTGATTCGAGAGAGGTAAATTGGTCGATGCGACGACCAAGAAGAGTTTCGTAGAGTGTTGAGTCGTTGATGTCCCCTGGTCCAAAGAAGTGGAGGTGCGTGAGACGATCCCATGGTATTAGGGGCTGACTTGCATGGAAGTCGTTATCAACCCAGTATGGCGAATAGATACTCAAGCGAGTTAAACGAGGCCATACGTTATTGTTGACCGGATCAGAATCTGGAAACGGTGCTCTCCTCCCATCGAATGCGAGATGGACTAGGTTCAGACACCGTTCGAGTACGCCACTTATGAATAGCTCAACAACGAAATGGCTCGTGCAGAGAAACCATAGTTGCTTGACGTGGCGTGCAGGACGACAGAAAGGTAGCTCATCTCGAAGGGCAGAGCCAAATAAGCGGACCTGGTCGTGTTTCTTGAGAGTAACTTTGGAGTACACGCGAGGTTCTACCCAGGACTTGACATCACGAGAAACAGTGAAAAGACGGAGTGCGTCGTTGACTTCACATTGAAACGCGTATGTTTCGATCACGAGGCGGAGGATATCGTCTGGTAGACTGAAAGCTGTGTGAAAGTCCATGATAACGATTGAGTTCTACAGCGAATGTCTGTTGCAGTTGGTCTAACGATGGTGGCGGAGTGAAGTATTGATGATCGACGCGACGCGTGTCAAACCCGCGTATCAATCCCGTGACTTCCACTAACTCAATACCAATCATTACAGCGTTTTGACTGCTTGGATGCTTGGAAAAACATGACGGTATACAGTCTCTATATTTACGATAGGTATCAAATAATCTCCATAAAATCATAATGATATAACATGCTAATAGTGCTCTAGACACTGCACCTGCATCTACTATCACGACTGGTCCCGCACAAAACGTCCAAAACCCGCAAGCAAAGATGGCCTCCTCCCAGCCGTCTCGCGAGCGGTATCATATCAACCACCAACCGCAGATGGTGCACCTCCACCGATGTCAACGTTCAGTAGCCCAAGGAACACTCTCGTATCAAGCTCTGGCGTAGTAGTCGCATTGAACGAAGAGCCAGAGCCTACCAACTTGAAACCGCCACCTTCAAGTTCGGGCTCTCAGAATCAAGCTCCTCCAGCTCAGCCGGGAAGTGCACTTGCTTTTGATGAAGAGGTCAAGCTGGTTTATGGAGTGATTCTGTCGTTACGGACTATGATGAAGAAACTCTCAAAGCGGTATGACCATTTTCATATTCGGTCATCCTACATCTAGGACCTACGACTGATTTCTCAAACGTTAGCGACGAGAACTTCACATCCTACCGCACTTCATCCTACAAACTCCACCTCTACGAGACCCCAACACTGTACAAATTCGTCCTCCTCACAGACCCCAAAGCCGAAGGTCCCACAGTCCGGTTCGCACTCCGCCAGATGTACGCAGGCCCGTTCCTCGAATACGTCGTGCGCAACCCGCTGGTAAAAATGGACTCACGCGAACGCGGGGTTGATAATGAATACTTTCGAGCGAGTGTAGATCGACTTGTTAGAGGACAGGCGTTCTTTAATTGACGTCTTTTGCTGTGAGGTATGTGCCTTGGAGTAATGCCTAATTGTCGCTAACCTCTAACATTCACCTTTCAAGTTTCCCATTTCATGTGCATCTGCGGCCGCCGACATAAACGCACCGTTTATCAGCATATACCGAGGAGACTAACGGACGTGCCTTGCTCACGCAAAGTTCACAAGCATCTCAACATTCTAAGGGTGTTCCATGGTATGATTCTCGCGACGCGAAAGGAGCTCGGAATGGAACAATGGCGTGGTAAATAAGACGGGACAGGAGACTGGAAAGTGCCGGCGGCGGGAAGTGCATATTCGAAGATCACTGTATGCAGCAAAGCACGATGGATTCTGGATTAATTGACACGAAGTGTCGCACTACTACATACAGATAGCCCATTCATGTTGTCAATAGTTCCTGTATCTCACTACCAGACTCCACTATAGTAGGTCTAAATATACAAATAAAATTTCAAACTCCGTAGCGTTAGAACAATGTATGTATACTCGACGACAGTCAGATTGTACACAATAACTGAGAGTGGAAGGAAGAAAAAGAGGAGAGAAAGCAGATAAAAAAAGAATTAACTTGTGACACAAATATAACAGTGTCGATGCATCTAAGGTATTGTATGAAAATGCAAATGTAGAATGCAAGACATCCACCGTCCTCGTATCCACAGTGCTCATGATGAATCTTCTAGGTCTGTCAGTTCCGATGTATCCGAGTCTAAATCCATCGTTGTAGTCGACTTCTTCGGGCTCCCTCCATCAGCTACAGCCTCTTTACCATTCGTTGACGCTGTAGCTGCTCCCGCCTCCTTCCCGCCCTCATTTTCTTCCTCTTCGAATTGTTTCCTGAGCGAATCCATCAAACTCGCCCGCATAATCTTCTCCACTTTCCTTTCACGACCATAGTCCTCTTCCGAATCTTCCGAATCTTCCACGTCGCCCGCAACCGCCTCGTCCAGTGCAAGCTTTGTCTGTCCAAGACGGAACATATCCTCCTCAATCGTGCCACTCGTGATAAGTTTCACAATCTCAACATCGCGCTTCTGTCCTATGCGATATGCACGGTCTGCTGCTTGCCGATCGTTGTGTGGATTAAAGTCTTGGTCGAAGAGGATCACAACTGACGCAGCCGTCAAGTTGATGCCCATTCCTCCAGCTTTCGTCGACAAAAGGAACACAGGAATCGACTCGTCCTCGGTGAACTGATCGACTAATCCTTGCCGTACGTCGACAGGCGTAGAGCCAGTCAGCAGAAGGTACTTGATGGATGCTTGGTCTAGTATCACCCGCAAGATATCGAGAACTTGTGTAAACTAGGCCCATATATTAGGGCACATACAACAGTTACGTGGAAATTATTACACACCTGCGAAAATATAAGGCATTTCCTGCCTTCAGCCTTGTAGTGATCAAGGAGCTTGAGCATCGCCCTGACTTTGCCAGAGTCAAGATAAACACTCTCATCTAAGAGGTGCTTTTGAGTGGACTATTGAAAACGCTTTATTCAAACATCAGACGAAGATATACTGAATAGAACAAACCTTATATTGCCTAATGCAGTCTATAATCCCAGAGTCGGACATAAAATCCAACTCCTCGAAGACTACATCAAAGTCAGCAGTTCGCTTTCTGGAATTTCGCTTTCGGTAGTCGGGCTCTTTCATAAGTAAACGAGCCAAAATCGATATCTTGGCATCCGTATAATGAACACGGAACAACATTGGGTGCAACGCCGCTTTACGAAGATCCATTAGAACATTAGACGAGTTCACCTGATTCTCGTCTTTCTTGATATCATTACCCTTGTGCTTGCTCTTCGCTAATGAGCCGTTTAAGTTATCTTCCGCGAGTTCAGCTTCAGTCACCATGACTGCCTTGCGCGAACGCTGCCGAGCGTCATCATAAATCTCCTTTTGCAACGCCGTAAGAGAGCACCATTCAATACGTTCCGTCTTCCTTGGAAGGTCCTTAAGAACCTGATCCTTTCGACGACGAAGTACAAAAGGTGTCATCATTGTCTTAGCACGTTTAACACGTTCTTCATTGAGAAGCTGTTTTGAATCGCCTTTCACCTTGAAGATTGTTCGAAGGTGTTGTGATACCTCCTTGCCGAACTTATCCGGGAGGATGAAACCCATGATAGACTGAACAGAAATAAGAATGTGGTCTCCGTGTTGAGGAAGTACCAAGTGACGTACCACAAGCTCCTGCAAATTATTCTGCAGGGGCGTTCCTGTTAGAAGCAACTTCCACTTTGACTTGATGTGAGTTAAAGCTGAGTAGCGGGGCGCCCGAAAGTTCTTCAGAACATGACCCTCGTCAAACACGCATGTCTACATGGAAGCGAGTAAGATGGCAAGAAGGTAGACTTGGAAAGAACGAAAGGCGCATACATTCCAAGGTATCTTCTTGAGAAACGCTTTATCCTCCTTCCCTACTGCGAGGCTATATGTTGTGATCAAGACCTCCCGAGTAAAAACCTTCATATCATTATTGCCAGGTTGCGTACGAAACAGCTTGCCGCGAATAGCCCGCCGCTCATCTTGTTTCCCGTAATACGCCTCGATAGAAATAGAAGGAGCGAATCTTTCAAATTCCCGACACCAGTTCTCCAACGTGGAAGCCCTGATATAAGATGTGAACAATAAACGTACCACCAAGTAAGCCTTACTTACGGAACAACGATCAAGTGAGGTCCAAGACAACCCTCTTCTTTAAGCTGTGCGAAGAAGCTTATGACCTGCACTGTCTTGCCAAGTCCTAAATGCCTGTGTGTCAGCAATCTCGAAGATCAGAGAAAGGACTTATATTTTACCCATCTCGTCGGCAAGTATGCAACTATACCCTTTGGAATGTAGTAGACGCAACCAACTGATTCCAGTAAGCTGGTAATCTTTAAGCACCACATCGGGGGACAGGAGCGACGGAGGCTTCGAAAGAAGTCCTCCCGTCGAGGGCCCACGCGGAAGTGACACGAAGCTCAGTGCCCCATCCTCAGACAAGTTGTCCTTGGGAGCCGAAGATCGCTCACGGTCCTTCCCCTTCCCCTTTCCCTCACCAGTCCAACCGTCAATCGTTTTCTTCAGTTCCTTCCCTATTCGTTCACAGTCTCGAAGAATCTGGTCTACGTTGCCATAACCCACGTAGACTTCAACGCAATCGTCAAATAGCCGAGAGCTTATTCCTGCTGACCCCGCCTTTTTCCTGCCTTGACCAAGGCGTCTCCTAAGATCATCAACTGAGCCAAATGGGCGCAGTGAGATGATCGCATCCACTTGTTCTTGTGTGCAGCCTACGCAAAGTCAGAAAGTCAGGAAGTCAGGGAGAGTTTAGAAATGAACATGGACCGACTCACCCGTCAGGTCTTGCAACGCCGCTGGGCCGAGTTCATTGAAGCCATTCAGTGCCTGTTGTTCGAAATCATTCACCAACTCCCCATCACTTTGTGCCTCATCCTCATCCCCATCCTCATCCTCGGAATCAACTACATTCTTACGTACGGGACGGCGAGGCGCCCGAGGTCTCACGGGTGACGAGTCCAGCTCTGCGTTACTTGGCTCCGGGGGCAGAGACGAAGTTGACGCTGAGGGTGATTCTGCAACCCGTCGGTTTCTGTATATACTGGACTTTGCTGCAATTTGTTTCTGTTGGGCGCGTTTAGCCTCACGCTCATCCTCCACTTCTTTGACCTTGCCAACCACTTTGACTGAACCTGCTGGGCTCGAGGATGGCGTGGGCTCGTAGGATGAAGGATTGAAATCAGGATCCATTAAGAGTCGTCCGGCAGCCCGAATGTCTTTATTAGACATGTAGTATGCCGCATTTACTTTTTCAGGAAGCACTCCTGGATGCACTATCCGAAATTGAACCAGTTGTTTGTCCTCAACCGGTTTGCCGCGTACAATTCGTGACTTTGAGGAGGTACTACCAGCAGTCTTGTTATCAGGACTTGATTCATCTGAAGACATGGACATAGACATCGCTAGCGAGTTATTCGTCACGGGCCTACGCTTTTGTCCTGCTCGCATGATATCTGGCGACGGCGGCGACGCAGGAGCAAACAAATCAGATGCTCCAGAGCCCGAATTGTTGATATTTACGCGCTTGCGAGGGCGCTCGCCATCAATCGCTTCATCGGCGTCGATCGGACGTCTCATAGAAGGCGGGGTGGGACGCGTGATAGACGCGTTGTTTACACCTGTGGACGCGTAAAAGCCAGTAGGTGTAGATAAAGGATCGACGTGAGTCTTGAAGGTCTGGGGTCTTGAATTGTGCAAACTACCCGTCCCTAACGAAAGATTATTATGAGAGTATTGAAACGGGCGATATGACTGTTGATTTGAATCCCCGGCTAGCGGACTCGAATTAGGCACAAGAACCGTTCCGTTCGAAGGGGTGTTAGGGAAGAATCGCGAGCTATTGGTGGCGTCTCGCGACTGTGCTGGTGGACTATAAGATGGCCCTGCTGCCATTGTGGTCGAAGAATTCGGTGCAGTATGGCCCTGAGTATCGGGTACTTGGTTTTGTTCAGGCCTAAAAGCAAATCGAGCAAGATTGTTGGAGAGTCTCTGTTGAGGCTGTGTTAGTGTACTGGCCAGTGATGCGTACGAGACACCAACCCTCGCATCAGCAGCGACGTCCGTGCTGGATGACATCGTCTGAGAACTGCTCAATCGTTGACAAAAAGGTAGTTCTCAGTGGTTGTTGACGGCTTGCGGCTGGGGCAAGCCGCAATGAGTGATGAAGACAAGACGATTCGGACACGCAGCTTTGGAATGACATGATGATCAACTTTCCCACGTTTCATGCCACCGCAAAATAATTATCATTCAACAGCCCGCGAGAGAATACATCCTTGTCTAATGAATGAAGCATACATGGCAGAATATTATCCAACAATGCAGACAACCAGCCCTGATATACCCTCGGAAAAGATCATTAGGAATCATCGCACGGAATGTAAACTGGTCAAATAAGGCGAGGGATCCGCCGAATATTGAAAAATGAGCCGTGACCAAGAGTAGGTCGGCAGCTTGAACAGGTCATATACCGCCTCAGAGTGAGGCGATAAGGAACGCTTCAAGGCATTTGCTTGCCAATCACCAAGAACGGCTGAGTCTTGCCCGGATTGGTGTCAATGTTATAATGATGCATATAGTATGGTGCCCATGGGTCGTGTGGTAGGGGGGACAATACACCAAACGACATCCCGCACATGAAGCAAAATGAGATGAGGAATGAAACGGCCAGCGATTTACGGGATCTGCAGCCTTCGAGTTGGTAGGGTGTAGGCGGAGCAATAATGGCCTTGGAGCGAGGTGGTAGGTGCGTAGCATCATTGGGAGAGGTTGTTAGCACACTGGCGTCTGGACAAGACCAGCAAGTGGGTCGACAAGCACCTGGTACAAAAGCAGAATGAGGGGGAATACCAGTAGCTTTGCCGTAAACTCGTTCGACCGTCAGCGAAACCGCCTTTGTGGAACGCATCCTCTTGAGAAGTGACTGATGAGTAAACCGAGCTAGAATTCAGAAAAATCTTTGTTTTCTGCAGAATCGGGCTTCCACGAGAATAGGCGCAACCTTGCTACACAGCAATGTACCGTAATTCCATGCCAAGCTCGTCTGGCATTACTATCTTGACGCCGAAGAATGTGATGACCCTATGATAGACTTCAGGCTGTTCGGGAAGAGCGGGGGTCATGGTGTTCCGTTGGGGAAGAGGTTGAGAGACTGAAGTGTCGGCGCGAAACTCACTAAGCCCCACGATGTAGAAGACGCTTCTGAGCCTACTGCTGCGACAGCGTCCGGGCCTAACAGCTGTGTCCTTTTATGCGATGTTCTTCTATCGCCGAGAACACCTCTGGCAGACGAAAGGAAAATAAATGTTATCACGTCGATATGATCAGATACGCAGGGACATGGGAGATGAAAATCGGCTTACGCACCGTGTCTTGGTCGGAGCGCCTCCTGACGAATCCTGCGACATTGAATTGAGGAACCGCCGCCCACCTTAACCAGAAGAGGTTGGTTCGGATGGATACAGGATATCGGCGGACGTTCGATGACTCGCGATGCGCCTCCCCCACCTCCACAGCGAAGAGCACGGAAGAGATGGAAGTCGAAGGCAGGAAAATCGAAGCGAATGAGTAAAGGCAGATTCCTTCAACACCGCCTCGACCAAAACGTTGACGAACCTCTTCTATGCCACTCACGAACCGAACGGGATTCCGGCACTCCATCACAGGGGGGCAAGCGGAGGTTGCGCAAGTACCGGTTTCGATAACAGATAAATTGATTGCCAACGTACAGTGCACTGGTTGTCGGCGAGGAAGAGCAAAGTCGGGACCAGTCGAACTTACCTTGACGGTGTCAAGAGGCGGGTCATTTCTTTGACACGGTATCGCAATGCCAAGACAAAGCCTGATTCCGGCCTAGTGATCGGATACTGTGTCCAGCTCTTTACCCGCATTCAAAGCTCCTGAAAATCCGAATCGGATAAATCTTGGACACATTTTATTTTTTTTACCGACTTACCGCCCAATGCCCGCTTTGAAAATTTTGGTCGTTTGTCGTCAAGTTGCCGATGCCGATGATTGGTAACATAAGGCGGCGAGTCATTTCCAAAAACACAGGATGCTGACGCGCTTATCTGGCAGATTCAACACCTACTATCCGGCGGGAAGAAAACGGGCATTGTAAACGAAGAGAAGAGTGGACATTTCTGCACTGAGCGCTCAGAGCCAGGACTATTACGCGTGGTCCCACAGACCATGTTTGTTTACAGGTGTCCGCGGGAGTGCTGTTCCTTGTAGTCGGCGCGCAAATCAAGGGTTTCCAAAAGGTATCACAGGCTCGATAACAACATCCGCTTTGAATGTGCAATGGGGGGCACCAGTTCTCCTGAAGACCTCAATGGGTATCCACACATGAGAGCGAAGCCAGAAGACATTCATTCCTGCGTAAGTGCACATTACCACTGTGCGTTCTCAAGAGTAAAAGGAAGGCGAGGAGGCTGTCATATGGCTCACGGCGCCAGGAAGTTTTGACCTGATGTTGCCTTAGAAGCTGGATTAGTAACCTTCTCTGGCCTCGACTACAGCATCAATAGACTCTGATGGATGCCAGTTCAACAGGCGAGGGGAAGGATGCGGCGTCGTGGAGCTGTCCCGTCCAAGACAGAGAAAAAGACACCGAGTCGCTCTTTATCACAAATACACCAAAGTGTTTAGGCGCTGCTACTTTCACAAACCCGCGCTAACTTCATACCGTGCCAATCACAAATTGCGCGGGTACCCCTTGGTCCGGATTTAGATCTTGTTCCGCATCCCTGTTTGATAGACTATTGTTTACCGCGGAGCATTGTTAGGCCCCGAACATCTGACAGCACCCGTATATCCTGTCATTGATAGACAAGAGGAGGTACATTCGTCCGTTTTGAATTCAAGGGGTGATTACACGAAAAGCTGGCGACAAGGGTTGGAAGGAAGAAGCTTCTCGGTCCATTGAGCATTGCGAGAGGCAGCTGTAAATAGAGAAGATGCCATATGAGGGTGGATAAGCATGGGAAATCAGTCGAGCCAGTCGAGCGGACGTGAGGCCATGCATGTCAGAGCTCTTCTATCGAGAACCTTTGAATGACCGAAGGTGGCAAGTATTTTGCAGTACGTCAATACGCAAACAAACCCCAAATCACGCTTCCCCAGAGCCGGTATGTGTAACAGATGACAATATGTGCTCCAAAATCTCCAGACCACCTTAATCGCTTAATGCTCCTATGGCGAACGCTCTGGAGGGCAGGATGCTATGTATTGTGCTCATCTGGACCGACGATTATACGGCACGAGATGAGAACGTGTTCCATGCTGGAAGTTGATCCATTCCTAGTCTAGAGAGAAAAGCGAAATTATAAAAGTTAGATAATTTAGCGATGGCGAACAAGAGCAATTCATTACTACTTCCTTTGCGCCACAAAACTCCGTGACTGGCTGTCACTTGCACATGAGAGTAATGCATGAACACTATGGTCCGGTACCCTTGTTTTCGCTTCTTTTCTGCTTTAGAAAACATTGCACCATGTCATTCAAGAGAACATATTTTGGAACATCGGTAAATAGGAGAACATTTTTGGTTGAATAAGTTGGATTTCCGGCGGAGGTAGAAGTAAGGTTTTTCACAGACCTTTGCAAATCCGCAGAGATCTGAGATGATGGATTCGGAACCTCGTTCCCGTCGTCCGCTGCATGGGAAAGCGTTAATTTCCTGTGTCCAGAGCACCGGGGGCCAGCCGGATGCTCGGGATGAATCTATACAAAATCCTCTCATCTCGGAGGACGGCCCCAGTAAGGTAAGAACGGGAAGTCCGTCTGCCAAGACAATGGATCCTTCGGCGGTCCGCTGGGAAACTCTCTAATCAGGGAAGCATCAGACGTTTGGGTCAGGTGAGAAATAATGAGTCCTCTGTTGGTCTCTGCGAAGAGATAAGTATGAGTACGTTCTCCACAAATCAAGGCAACAAAAGTGTAGAACTTATGCTGGATGATTTCTTACCCAACCGGTGGTTCTCCTATGAGACAATGGACGCGGAACAGTTGATATTCGTAGGCTTGCATGATTATTTTCTTCCCTCCATTGAGGTACCGAGAGATGATAGAGTATATGCCAAGGCAGGACGACGGTAAATACAAATTCCTCATCAGGAATATCACCTGATGATGACGTAAAATGGTTCCAATAACAAATACCGTAACTGTATCTGCTTTATTATTTTATATGGTACTAATGAATAGTTACTATGCAGAAGTAGGAAACTACCTAAAGTTGCAGCCTATGCACGATTTGCCCAATGGCGATGCGATAGTTAATAAACAAAATCTCCAGCATTAGGCATTTGGATAAATCATCCTTCAAGGTGACGTCACCAGCAGCATCAACGGAACCAAAACAAGCCACCATGCTCGGAAGAGGATTGTATAACCTTCTTCATTCACAATACGCTTCGCGCAGTCTACAAATCCAACGTATGGATCGTCCTCATTCCGTAGCCTGACCATGTAATGAGATAAATCATTTTCAAAACGTTATTATAACATGACACACCCGATAACATCCTCCTCAGCACCTGCGTATACTACGTCATTCGCTTCGGTATCTTCCTGAGCGACTGGGGCGAACCCGGACGTAGCATGATTTCGTTGGATCGAAAGCCGTGTAGACATGACCTCTAGTGGACAGATGATCGCCGTGCTAACGAAAGCAAGCCCGAGATACACGCTAACCCGCACGATGGATAGTTTTGATCCTGAAGGCAATATCACCAGACGTAACGGGTCCATAATCAATATAACATATAGCATGCGGAGGACTTCGGAAGCCATAAGTCCCGGAGTGAGAAATAGGAGCCAAGGTTGTCTACGCTCGCTCGCTGTCAAGAGAATGCGAAGCGAGTAGGCTCCGTTGAGCCACGGAAGCTTGTAAGGAGTCGTGATAGCGCTTCATAAAGTATAAGTATAAAAACTCGCTCTTGAATAAAAGCAGCCGTATTCACCGGTTAGTTATGACTGTAGCGGGTAGAGAGATGACCATCATAAAAAGGCTGTAAGCCAGTCTATTCCAAACACCTTCAATAGGAGCAGAATATTTCTTATGACCACCCGTGTGGGCAAGTGGTGTTCCAGGAAGTACAGCAATGAATGCAACAATAATAAGCGAGTTAATCAAACTGGGCACTATTCAGCTCATGGTTAGTGTCAAGAAGCCTGTCACTAGAGGACGAGCGTACTGAGACCCTTGTACAATCCAGTCCAGCCCTAAGTAATAGATTAACATTCAAACCAAACGGGTGGAATTACGGGATGAGGAAAAAATAATCCACCTCAAGTCGTTTCACCCTCGCAAACATGGCAAAGTACGAGTTCACTACTGGGCCAGTATGTGGTTGTACCCCTCCCTCTCCATCGAGTTGAAGGCCCTTGGGCGTATAGTTTGCTCTGAATCTGACCAGCACTCCCGCAAGAGGAACAGTGATGAGGAATAACACGGCAAACGAGAGTACGAATACTATGGCGAAAAGCAATGATTCTCCTAATCCCATGGCTAGAGAGCGCGCAGAAGACGGTCGTTGGTGTTGAAGATGGTCTATACACGCCATCAGCTGCGCTGCGTTGCACAGTCCGGATCACGTGCCCGCTAACGGCGAACACGCCGGAGTCTGACAGTGTGCTTGAAACGCAAACCTTTCTGAAAGTTCCGTCGTATCATCTGAACCAGTACGACTTGAAGATATTGGTCAATGTCTCCTTTTCATGGTAGATCACGTTGTGACGAAGTTTGGGCTACTGGGCTTGAGAAGTCCGTTCTCAGAGTGTCTAAAGTAGTGACAAGGGAAGTTGAGAAAGAGGAGTTTACAAACTCGCAATACAATAAATGTGGCGAAACGGATGCTCCAACTTGCTTGCATATGATCTAACCAATAGAACAAAACTGCCGTCTGAGGCCGATGCTTAGACCTTTTCCAGTATCGTTCCTCATGTTCGACTCCGTGTTCTTCTTTTCCCCATCTCTGGGTCCGGCATGGAATGCATTTCTCTGGACTCTGGCGATACTCTTCAGAGTCGAGGACATAGCTGTATGACTTTCGCGCTCACGGCGAAGAGCGTACACCCCACCCATTGGACAGTCTAGACGGAATACTCCGTGGTAATAATTCGCTCAGGGCGCTTCCTTTCACTGCGCTCCGCTCGGGGCTTCCTTGAGTTAGCATCAGATGTCACTACGTATCTTCCATGCGATTATGTGAGTCTAATACCATACAGGTCCATATTGTTACGCACGTCATTGACACTTTGTTGATTACTTTACCGATGCGGATACACTAATTGTATCTCAGTCCCAGCCGCGGGGTTATGTGTTCTATTCGGCATGCAATACCCCTCAATACATAGTAGCAGGAGAGCATCGCTGGCCTTGTAGGTGTGTGTACTAAATAATATACATACCTTTTTTCCGACGCGCGGTTTATACCCGACGTTCTCCGAGGAGTCGAACCAGAGTCGGAGGAACAACAACACAAGCTGCTTCCCATGCGTTGATTCGGTTCAGTACGTCGTCGGATGCGCCTTGCGCAACCGCGGTCCTTAACCGAAGCGTCCCAGAAGAGAGAGGCGGTGTAAGAACGTTCAGGGCTTTACTCTTTCAGAGAAGATTCTCCGATTTCTTATCCGAGGAGCTCTAGACGTAGGCCTCGCGGCCTGTGCACCTCGGTCCGCACGTCGAGCTGATTCATGATTCTCGGTACCCCACCAATCACGCTGAAGGTTTCGGACATTACATCTTTATCGTGAGCGATGATCCCCGCAGGTCAGCGGCTAGACCAAAAAGTTTAGTCTACCATTTATCTAAACCTCTGATGCGATGTACGTTATGTCGTGTCTTCTTGGAGACTCTCTGCAATCTCGCTGAAAATCTTACAGAGTAGATATGATAGGGAATGGCATGTTGACGGAAGGTACAATCCCACGCATCGCTGTCAAGTTCTTTCCACACGCTCGGGACGCTCGATTCCGGAGGCTTGGCATTGCATCTTCGAGGATCCGTAAGATTGTCACGAACTTTCCTTACTATCTAATGAATACCTGCTTAATGCGGTCACCACGGCTTCATATAGGTGGGTGCCAAGCATGGATGCTTTAAATACTCGGGACAGCTCTCTAACTTCGCTCTCCGCCTTCACTCCCAGCTTCACTGCTGCAGTCTTCCCTTCCTGTTAATCGCTCCCGATGATAATGTCGTCAGAGAAACCTTCTCGCACCCTCAAGGTGACTGCTACATCTACACCTGCACCTCCCGGCGACCATAGGAAACGTCGGCGCAATAGAACCACACAATCCTGCTTGAATTGTCATGCGTCGAAGCGTATGGTACGTTGCACTATTTCGCCAAAATTTGCTTTGCTAGCTCAACAGTCTTGTCTGACTTCATCCTCGCAATAGTGCGATCGGAAGCGACCAGCTTGTCAACGCTGCACAACGCTGGGTTTGGTGCGTTATTGTTATGGCGCCTCCTCTTTAGTATTTTAACATTCTTCAATAGACTGGACTTTGTGTATATGAAGTCGATGATCCCAATCAAACGTATGCATTATTTATTTCCGTATTTATTCTAATGTCTTACAATAAGCTGTCTGCAGAAACATGCATGGTGATGAGAGAGCACTTCTTCGCAATCGTATCGCGGAGCTTGAAGGCGTAATTAGAGAAGTAGGTATTCCATTGATAAGTCTCTCCGCACGTTTCTCAACCTTCATTCCAGATGAAGAACAAACCTCACCCCCGTTGGGCGCAGAAGCCATCTGACGGCCAAAGCACAAGTCCTCGTCCAAGTGATGATGACCTTACCATTCCTTTGATCACCGCCGACCCACGTTCCAATGAGCAATGCGGGGACATTTCAATATCTGATAATATCAATTCGATGCCCGTGGGCACGCCTCATCTGAGCGCACCTAGCATACACCTTACTCCTATCTCTACTTCACCCGGCACATCACCGGCTTGCGAAGGACCACTAACTCCACAAGACCCGCACTTCCTTAGCACCTTCAACCTGCCGTCTCCACCCAGCTCATCATCAGCGCCTAGTCCAACCCACAGCCATAGATCTCTTCCCCGTATTATAATAAATGAGCCACGACCAGTAATAGGCTCGGAATTCAACGTCGACGGCCTTCTTGCGAGTGCGTCCCTAGAATCCACAGGCTTTGCAGACGGGGTTTACGGGCACATGCTGGACCACATCATGCAAGTGGATCAGGCTAGGGCCGCTGAAGCGTGCCATTGTGATCCCTCTACAGGCCAAGATAGGAGTAACTGTGGATGCATCGGTAACACAATGGTGTACAATAACCTGCTCGAGCTATCCGTGAGGCTAAGAAAGGCCGTCGAGTCCCTCGGAAGGGTCGCCAATCATCAGTCAAGGGCCAATGACTCTGTATGCCAATTGTTCACAAAGATCTGTGAACTCGACAAACTTACGTCGTAAGTGCCTTGGACTTCCCTTGCTCATATTTCCTTATCTAACTCATATACCGCTAGTTCCACGCTAGGAAATGCAACGTCTCCTGCTGACCGTCATCCGGCAGCCGACGCGTACTTCCCCGCACTTCCGGCGGAGTTCATACCTTCCACCATTTCACCAAATTGTCTAAACAACATCCACCAATGGGAGTCTAATGTCATCAGACCCTCGTTATCAACGGGGTCTGATGATGATGCATTCATGTCGTGGGACGGCGTCTCACGAGAGAGCTGGGCTCACGCTCCGAGACCCTGACAAACAATACATGGACATACACGTTCTAAGCCTCGTCTTATGTCTTTCTATTTCCCTCTCTCTTTATTCTTGTTATAAAGTTCAGACATTTACAGACATTGTTTAGTCGAAGATATACAACGACTACCTCTTTGTAACATCTCTTAGTCCTCATGTTTGTTCAGATGTAGTGAATTTGATATCCAAGGGCAGATCGCCAGACTGCCAAGGTGTTCGACGTCGTGCTCGTGGCCCAAACCTAATCGCCATTGATGCCAAGCGGTGCAGGGGCAGGCTGTCAACATATTGCCCGGAAGTTTGAACGAGTAGGTCCCTTCGAGAGGCCACAAAAGCAAATAGTTTCACCGAGATTGGCATACCAAGTCCCGCTTTTGACCCCCGTCGGAAGCGCCACGTCGTTCTTCTTGGCTTCAACACTACTACATGGGATTTGCTTACAGACTCGTCCTCCTCCGACCATCGTGGGTAGATAAGTGACTAGAAGAAGAAATAAAGTAGGAGTTATATCCTTCTCATTTCCGCGCCGCTTTTCCAGAGGCTGCATGATATTACTGAGGGACATAGTACACAGCACTATTCCCATGCGATAAATGATACTGCCTTAAAGTTTACGATCACCTTCTATCGTAAAGCTTAGTCGGAAACCCCTGGATAAATTGTGCTAGTCCCGAGGGGGAGACCAGCAACGCCACCGATTGTAGGACGCCTCTGAACGAGACCTGTTCCTGTATAGCAAGGACAAGAAACGATCGAATTAACTTCGAGGACAGGCACGGGGCGTGTCCAAGCGTCGATCACCTTAGACAGAGAACCGGGTCAACTTGGCGACCCGATTGAGAACGGTAGGATGTCACTGTAATCCGAACCTCACGGAAGAGACCAGGCGGGTCAACACGTTGTATCGCACTGACAGTGAGGTTTTGTGGAATCAGAAAAGGCAGTCAAAGTTCTTAAATGGGTTGATTATTTTGCATGTATTTCAGCCTTCCCAGAAAGGCGTAATAGGGCGGCAGAAGATTCCTTATACTCGTAGTTCCAAGCGATTGCTCTGCTGGTTATTGGTAGACCTTCATCCAGCACATTTCCAAGTCGCGGACATTCCTTGGCTGTGTTGGCTCTCGAGGGCAATCGGATGTCCAAGCGAGACAAGAGCGAGTGAGTTTTCCCGTGAAGCCTCGTCCCAAACAAATCGCGCATGATTTTGCGATTCTAATAACACCGTCTGAACCTCCTCGTCTTGAACAATCGGAAAATGGTTAAATGCCGGACAGTCGGGAAGCGACCGGAGTTATCGCTTTCCGACACTACCTAAGCGGGCAGAGTTTTGGTACGTGGGGACCTGCGGAGACAAGAACCAGACACCGAGTCTTGAAAAGATCCTTTCGGAAATCTTCGAGGAACCAAAGCTTACGGTGCTATGCCTTCTAGTTGGCAGACAGCAGTGAAAACGTGTCGCACCGAGAGGGGATATCATATGACTATACGTGCAGAATATCGGGACGCTGAGTTCGGCACCATCACCATCCAGATTCCAGACCGAAGACAAGAGTTACGCTTCCCTTCATCCTAAGTACTAAGTTCCCGGAGGCAGTGCATTCCAAATACTGACACGATGTAAAGTCTACGAGTCCATAAATGCCCGTAGCGTTATGCCTTCATGTTTCGGGGATCGAATGTTCCGTCTTACCTTATGACAATGTTTATTCATAACTACCGGGTGTTTAACCGAGTTGTTCATTCTGCGCTATCATCGCCAGTAGTTGGTTTAATGACTGATGACTCTGTAAGTACCTATAGAAGAGTAGCTCTGCCTCTGTTGAAGTGACGGCATGACAGTCTCCGGCTTGTTGATATCCCAGCCAAGCAGAGTCACTACGATAGTCATATAGACCAACTTTACCATTGGCCAGCTTGTAGGCATTTATTCACGAGCAGCCAATAGTATCGCGAAGGCGAATATATATATCATAAACGTGTTAATGTTGGCCGAGCGCTTGCTTGGGGGAGGTCTGTAATGTAGTATCCCATACTTCGATACATTAGCTGAGCCAACTCGCGAAGCCTTGGAAGATATCAAATGGAGACTTTCTACTTGCATGCTACGTAAGAAGTGATGAGGACAGCTTCTGAATAAAATAGCTGTCTAGTTCAGGAGTTACCATATCTTGTTGCGGGTTGCAGTTCCCCGTAGTAAAGAGGTGGAAGATCATGGTTGAAAAAGCCAGAAATGGAAGGTACGCGGATATTCTAGAAATTTTAGGTTTACAACTTGTCTGGCTTACTAATCGAATAGATATTTCCCGAACTAGCGCCTGCCGCACTTGCTGGACAGCTTGTGTTGGAACGGCCACGACAGTTTCTGTCCAAGAGCTATCATAGCATTCTAGAAGAAAATGGCATCACATTTGGTGAGTATTTCGAAAGTATCTGTCTCTATCTCGCTAAACGTATGTGACAGGCCAACATTTTCGGTACTGAGCAAGACCGTGTCAACTGCTCTTTTTACTACAAAGTACGTGTATAAATCCTGATTTGCACAACGCGATACTGACAGAGTTAACAGATTGGCGCATGCCGACACGGCGATCGCTGCTCTCGAAAGCACATTCGGCCGCCTTTCTCACAAACCATTCTCCTACCGAATGTCTACCATAACCCCGCTCACGACCCCGTTTGCAAGTTGACGGAAAAGGACTTACAAGAAGGTTTTGATGCGGTGTACGAAGACCTCTACTGTGAATTGGCGAAATTCGGACATCTCCTTGAGTTGCATGTGAGTTTTGCACCCGTTGAACTTCTTTGCCAAGTCATTGCAGACCTAAAGCTCATAATCCCCATCTAGGTATGCGACAACGTTGGAGACCACCTGATTGGAAACGTGTATGCAAGGTACGAATGGGAAGCGGAAGCTCAAGCGGCAGTGGACAACCTGAACGATCGTTGGTATGCTGGTGTGTACCTTTCCTTGCCTCAATATTTTCTCCGTACACTGGTTCTGTTACTCATCATTTACTTTCCAGGTCGGCCGCTTTATGCCGAACTCTCACCAGTGACGGACTTCCGTGAAGCATGTTGTAGGCAGAATGAGAACGGAGAATGTAATCGTGGCGGATTTTGCAACTTCATGCATCTCCGTCTTGCATCAAAGGAACTTGTTGACTCCTTACGTAACGGTCAGAAGCTCGAGCGGAAACTGAACCCCCAGAAATCGATAGGGGGAGGCGGTGGCTGGGAACCTGGCAAACGAGAGGGCGGACGAGGGCGAAGTGCCAGTCCAGGAAGGAAGGGAAGAGATGCTGGAGAAGATAGGTGGACTCGCAAGTGAGTTTAGCTCATTGGAACTCGCTATATTGATCGTCATTAACTGGATCCGCTCGTTGGTTCGTTTAGGAAATGAATTTTATCATTCTTTCCCTATTCTAGCTGTCCCCTACATACATTCTCCTTGTCAAGTAGTCCAATTGTATCTGAGTGGCGGTATATTATATGACTATTTTGTGCATTGCTTCCCTTCTTTCGCTCCGGAATGTGTTGATTGTACTACCCCAATACCGCGGACTTCCCCTATCTGTGCTGGATAGCTCGATATCGAGAAGAAAAGTAGCTCTTCCGATGGAGTGTTGACTTCTGCCGTTGCTTCTCGGCTTGGCATTACTCTCATCAGAAGGGGGCCTGCGGAGAACATGGTGAAGAGGGAGTCTTACAATTGGCCGACAAGGTACCATCGTTCTGGAATGTGAATGTTGAACTTCCTTACCTCCACCATTCCTTTGCTCATGACAAGAAGGCGTCAGCAAGTCAGTCTACTGAGTGCTGCCGACACGCTAGAAGGTCGCGGAACGATGGTTATCAGGATAGCGGTCTTATTTTGTAAGGACTTCGCACATCTCATGACGGTAGAGTTCTATTAGCTATTTCAGTGAAGAACTGGAGGCTCTGCGAATGACTCTTGAACCTTCGCATACGTTCTGTTTGTATTCTGCCATGGCTATGCGCTTCGACGATGTTCGATATTTGATGCGAAGCTTTGAGTGGGTGACCGGTCTCCTGCTTATCGGCGACCCAATTCATCTAACCATCCAAGGCTGCGCACGTCAGAGGTCCGTACATCCGTTTGTTACACGAGCCAACCTCGGCAGTCTCCGCGTACCCCATCTCTCAGGAGCTGCGGCCATTGCACCACAAACCTAGAAGACCGAGGGAAAAACATCAAGACCCAAGACAGGGGTGACAAGAAGTGCGGGTTGGACCGTTTTTCACTCACCTATCGACGAGGGGCCGAAGGAGTTTTCCAGACAGTGATAGCGAGTTCACGCGTGCGAATGACTCAACATAGATGACCCTCGGAGCGGGAAGTCCTAGAAACTGAATAATATTGTACACTTTATTCGCATCGAAAGCGAGCCAGCAATAGCAAATGACACGCTTACTTTTAAAATATACACAGCAGCACAGAGAACAAAGCACGTTCCTGGCCCATTAAGCAGAAGAACATCCGCGAAAGGAGCATTTGAGACAGAGGGGAAGTGTATCATGTATTTTAAGACCGAAATTAAGGACCGCATGGCCGTCGGTGGAGTTGTAATTAAGGGCTGGTGTACTCGGCGAGCTCGAGGAACTACAACGACTTCGTAAGAAGTCGAATTCCCTGTCAACTTCAGGAGCATGAGCAAATTTACTGGAACAGAGTAGCTAGCCGAAATCTTCACATTCTTGAGTTGAACACATTCACTCTCAAGGTTCCTAAACTTATTAGCGCTCAGGGCATCACCTTCGCTGATGATGTATTTTCTGGGAGTGTATCGTGTAAAATCTAGCGTTGAGACAAGCGCGAGAGCCTCGCTTGTGTGGCCGCCTATTAGACATTTTAGCATTTTGGATTTACACGAGTAGTCCATAAGAGCTAACCAGAGCCAAGGAAGACTGCAAGGCTGCACGTGTCAGACGCGTTTCTCTGACGCGTTGATCGTGCTGTAGAGATTCGGTTCGGCAGTAAAGCATAGGCGCGAACAGTTGCTATCCCCAGGATCAGCAAGCAGAACAGAATATAGCTCAATAATGACATTCTGTCCGAGTAGACGGTAGTGGAGGGGCTGGCAACGAGCTAAGTTGTGTTGAAGAGAAAGAGAGACGAAAAGAGACGCGTTGATCTTTCCACAATTTCAATCTCCGACAACTAAACTTAAAATATTTGACCTGCCTCAATCATACCCTTATCCGTCGCCCAACTACTCTTTCTCCAAGTTCCTGCAATGTTCGCCCCGTAAGTTTACTCAGGGGGACCAGCACTTCTCGTAGTAAATCACATTTCAAATATCCCAATGGATATAGCTCGCTCAGAAGCCCGTTGTGGCACTAGTTTCTTTAGGATTGTCCCTTTCCCCTTTCTTCATTACTTTTGCATCAACTTCCATTTCCCATATGCCTTCGCTGAATAGAGAGGGGAAAATAACTGGATATTACCATTATGTTTTATCCGTCTAAAGTTTGGAGCAATGTCCGATCCCTCCGCAGCTGCAATTTTTTTCCATTGTTTATCCAAAAGGTATGGAAAGGACCGATTTCAGCTGTAGATATACTCACAGGAAGCATACTGTATCTCTTACAGGGTACTTGGACAGAGAAGACTAATAGCAACTACGAAAGCGTACGATGGGTGCAGCTTGACCACTTCTCGTCGCCTACGATCTGTGGCGTTTCACACGATTCGTCGACTAATAATAATACGTCCGTTAGCCAAAATAACCTAACAACGATCTACCACGACGTCGCCTTCAAGTCCTCCTAAAAGTTAACACGCATAAAACGGCGGAGAGTTCTATGAGCTCCGACTTACACGCACTACATTTCGACGATCCTCCTTATCAAGGCCTTCAACCACATTGAGAAAACGGATAATCTTTGATCTCTTCATGCGAAGCTCAGGAAATTTGACTTCGAAAGGTCCCACACCCCAAGTACTCCCGAAATGATGGTCTAGAAGTTAATGTTAAGCGACGATGGGGCCTAACACTACTAACCTCCCGCGAACCTTACAGTCTTTGATTAATTACCAACGCTTGGGTTGAATTCGCCATCTTTAGGGTTGAATCACATGGATAAGCAGGTCGTCATCAAGACGTGCACAAAGCTGTATCTGAATTTATCTCAAAGGCGCAAATATAAGATCTGTTTTTTTATTTTACTTTTCTATTAATCCCATGTTATTGCTCATGTAAGTTCTAACCCTCATGTTAGGACAAGTATACACACTGTATCTACTAGAAACTCCAGGGTCACTGCTTGATAAAAAAAGGAACTGTATAAGATCCTTTGATCCATTTCTGACTCTAAATCTCGTGTTTTAACTTGTTAGGCTGTGGAGAAAAACACAGTGGTATAGATGTAGTATAAGGCATTTACTAGGAAATGTATTCACCACCTGTGTCAGTGATCTAATCGTGGGTTCATGATAATACTAGTTACAGAACATTATGGGGGGGGGGGGTTGATTTGTGTACATCGGCCCAGTCCAAAGCCACAAATTTCAGCCAAAACTCATTACATATTATATGTATTTCTACCCAGTCCAAAGCTGGGAATCTTGGCCAGATGTCGTTACTGCATTTCTGTTCAGACCAAAAAGCTAAAAAGACAAGCTGAAGCTGAATGATATCCTGCATGAATTGCATAACGTGTCAAATATGCCCTTACCCAAGTGCTATGCAATATTTCTTACTACGGATAATAATTTAACAAGAAACTATCAAGAAAGCCTTCATCCATCATCTCATCTAAACATACTACGAAAATTCGGTCTTTAATACACTATGACAGCAAACTATCTAACTGTCTTGAGGAGACTAAGTGCTACAATGGTGAATGTCATCTTAACAACCGGAGGGGAACGACAAGAACAGGAAAAACGTCTAGCCCATCGCACGTACAAACAATAGGCTATACTTCAACAAAATATCTATTTCGAACCGTTTTTGTAGCCGGCTGCAGTATCCGTGGCGGTCTGTGCTGTTGCAGCGCTATTGCTCGCGTTTTGGGTAGTAGTAGTAGCACCTGTACCTGCGGTTTGCGTCTGTCCGGTGTCGCTCGAACCCCCACTCATTTTCACAAGGCTGCTTAGTAGGATAGCTAGGCCACTCATCTGAGGTGGCTGTAGAAGTGCGGCGTTGATCTCCAAGCTAAGCATAGTGCCATTGTTCGACGAGCCAAGGAGAACAGCTGCTGGCTGTTGATTAGGCGATGAAGCCAAAGAAGCCTGTGGCACCGGAAGGATGCCGAGCGACTGTAATGCCGGCAACGACGTCACTGGAAGCTGCAAGGGAATAGCGACAGGAGGCGGTCGCGCAGGTGCCGATGTAGAAGGCGACGACGCATTTGCCTGGTTGGTCGAAGATGTCGACGATTGCACCTGGGCTGAGGCGCCAGTGGGGAAGGAAGAAGCGCCAGGAATGGCCGAGGTGCCAGTTTTTGCGGATTGCGTGTGTGATACGCCAGGAATAAATGACTGAGCATAAGGATATGTGTAAGAACTGTAGTAATTCGAGTAATTCGGAGTCGATGAAGCGTTGAACGTCGAAGTAGCGTAACCGTAATAAGAAGGCGTTGTATGATTAGTGGTGCCATTGATGGATGTGGAGCCTGACGTCGTTAATGTTGACCGATTGGCTGTCTGTTTCGCCAACCGCTGAGCGCGAAGGACCTTGTCAAGTTCGGAGCGAGCACTCGATAGTTCTTGGTCCAGTGCCGAGGAGTCCAAGTGCTCGGATTCTAGTAGCAATCTCTCGACCAATATGGCCTGATCGAGAGGAATAGTATTCTAAAATAAATTTATAAATAAATGTGTTATAATACGCGGCGAAGAAGAAAATAAAGGTAGAGAGAAGAAGCTACCCGTGCAATATACGAGGCGGCAGAGATGAGAATGTACAAAGAACAACAAACGTACTTGACCAGGTTTCAGGCGAGCCTTTTTCATGCGGTGTTCCAATGATCTAAACCGTCTGTGGCACTCTAATGCAAATTTGGTTTCTGCACAATTTCAGTGTCTTTTTTATAAGTACTTAACTGGTTGGCTTACCCTGTATCTCAAGCAATAAATCCGCCTCGTTCGCTTTTGCTTTGCCCTTCAATCCCCGCATCTCGTTAAGATCATGCTGAGGGTGCTGGAAGATGTGATAAGGCAACAACCGATGCACAACATCCAGTTCATTCTCGAAAGGGGTATCCGCATCTGGATACAGTGTCATGATCTGGTCGAGTTCTAAGTTCGCAGCGACACTTGGGTACGCAAGGTGTGTTAGAAAGTGGATCATAATAAATGATACGAATAACTCACGATGTAGCTATCTCATTCTTCATCTCTTCTTCCTCTTCATTCAATCTTCGCCTCTTCCTAGATCTAGGTACCTTTCGTTGTTCGTTCGAGGCATCAGGTTGAGTCTGAGTCTCCTGAGTACTCGAGCTGGCCGTCGGTGTCTGAGTTGGTGTCGTTGGTGTCTGCGCCGGTTTCAAATCGACCACCGATTTCGCAGCATATGTCTGAGGGGTGGCGAAGTTCTGAGAGATTATGAAAGGGCTCGTCAAGTTGTATAGCAAGCAACTAAATTGATCCCGGGTTGTATTCTTTCGGCTTTGTTTCATTTTCATTTTTACAAACGTTTTACTGTAGCGGACTGTATGTAGGCAACGGTAACGGGTAACTGTAGACCTGTTGCGTTGCTTATTTAGCGTAACGTAACGGGTAACGGAGTACTTGTTGCCAGTGCTCGACCTATGTAGCATAGTACAAAAAAAATATGATATTTTTCATTTAAAACAAAAAAAATCTAAGTCTAATTGCCTGAGTATGCTGTCTAGCGTCTAAATAATAAGAGCTGCCAACAGAATGTTGTTGAGTAAATTGCATAGACAAGCAGAAGGACCAGTTCACAAACCTCTAAGACTGGTTCCAAAGGACACCGTCGTTTGAGTAATACCATATATTCTCCTCCGGATTACTCGAGACAAAGCCTGGATGGTCAGGATCGTTGGAATACTCAATAGAATCCATTGTTCCACAGTAGTCATTAATAAACTCGTATTCTTTCCCAACATCAACTCCAACCGTCTCCTTAATGATTGAAGCAAGAGGTACTGCAGTATCATCATCGAATAAATCATCAGTATCTTCTTCGTTGCTGTCTTCAGTACCATCAATAATAATCGGAAATTCCTGCCCAGTCCTATTAAAAATCTCGTCTTGTAGAGTTTTGTCCTGAGTAATATAATTGCGCAATGCTGCTCTTGCTTTGAGGTCTGAAAGCATAGAGCCAGATAAGTTCCATTCCTTAACAACACATTTCCTCCAGGCCTGAGTAATATATAAATGAAAGTTAGAAGGCAATATACTGAACGAAATCAAAGATTCTTACCATTCTAATGATTTCATGCCCCTTTGGTGTATTCATGAAGTTCCATGCACTCAATACAGCCGATACTGTAGCATTGCGTAGTACTTTGATCTTGTCTAATATTTCTACTTGTTCAAGAGGGATGCCCTTTGCTATCTGGCTGCGGTATTGCTGGATCATTCCTTGAAGTGCATGTTGTTTCAATTGGTGTTTGAGGATGCGCTGCAGACCAACGTCTGCTGGTTGGAATACAGGAGTGCCTTCACCATACAGAAGTTCAGCTCCAATGTCATCGAGAAATGTATTCGCGCACTTACAGTTTGCAGGGACGAATAAAGGGATGACATACGGGTATTCTGATCGTAAGAAATCCAAGAAATCGGCACTCGTATGTACTGGATAGCAGTCCAAGTAAAGGACAGCACGCTGGTCCCTTGGCAGGTATGGATTCGCTTCCAAGACTCTCTTATAGTGAGGCTCGTAGATGTTCTTCATGAACTGTAAGAGGTATTTAGTTTAAGAACGAAGATTTACAACGCATGTACACACTTCTTTCATTGTTTTCTGAGTGCTGAAGTGACTATCACGCCGGTTTACACTTGCTGCCACTGTAAATTGAATTCCAGCACCGAGAGCCTCTTCCATATTTGTAGAGTTCTTTTCTGGGAGGCTCTGGTCAGTTTTACCACCGTAGACTTGCTGGAATGGCAGTAGTTCGCCATCAGCAGTACTAGATACACAAAGTGTGTATCCTCGCTTCTCATCCTTAGCTATGACGTTTACCTGCTTCGAACCTTTCTTTTCGTAGGTGTACTTATAGCCAGGAATATATAGTACCCCTGTTTGATCCATATTAACAATTAACTTGAAAGAAAATGAGTGATATACTTAATAAACCATAGTACTGAAGCACTCACCGATGAGGGGATATCAAACTCTTTTACTACATGAACAAGACGAAAAAAAGCGCGCTCACACACCTCCTCCCAGTTCTTGGGTAGGTGTGCAGCAGCTCGAGTCGCTCGCCTTACCGTCATATTCAAAACCGATCCTAGGAACGACCTGACGTATTTCTATGCAAACATGTACATCAGTTAGCGTGACAGAGAGACAATACTCAAGGCACATGTCCACTATTGTGATAGGGACAGACACATAAGATACGTACCTCACTGCATTTGAAGTTCGATGTGAGGATATCCGGATTGCGAGCTTCAATGATGGCAAGCATCATAGAACGGCCAATTACTGCATTCAGTGGGTAACCTTTTGCACGAAAGCCCAGAAAGTTCGTTTTAATCTCCTCAACAAGCTCAGGGTACTTTGTAAGAGCACCAACACGTCCAGAACCCCCTAAGATACGCTTGTTCTGGACATTGCGGATTGTTGTATCAGACCATTTCGTTCCGCACGGTGCAATCCATTTCTGGACTGTACCCTTATTCAATCGATTGTACAGTGCCGGACTCTCTTTCTTCAAGAACTCAACAATTTTTGAGGGACTGAAGTCGACCTTTGGTGCAATGCGATCAATTGCATCCCATAGGAATGGATGGTACCAATTTGTACGCCTAGAAACACCTGGAACACGTCCCTGCCGCTTTCCCGTTCGCTGTGTCTTCCACTGTCCTGAAATTTCCCGGGATACCTCAGCAACAGTGTTATTGCATGGAAGAGCAGTTGGACTCTCTTGATGATCACTAGATACCTGTAATATAAGTCAATAAACAACTGTTAATGTACTTTAGTCAACAAAAGATACATACCTGACTACTTTCCTCTGTATCAAGTCTCTGATGCTCCTCTCTCTTCCTCTTCCAATACCTAGCAACTCTTGCAGTGCTCAATTCCTTCTCGCGAGCTTTCTTTTCGGCTTTGCGTTCCTCATACAACTCGATCTTTCTCTTGCAGCTCTCTCGATCTCGCTCATCCTCCTTTCTCCGTTGCTCAGCTGCCTCTTCCTTGGTACAAACTTGGAATTGCAGTTTCGTTTGGCGCAGGTTCTTGCTTTGCACAGCAGGATTAGAATGCTGGGAGACAGGGTATGTGGAAGGCGAGGGTTGCACGAGTTGCAGAGAAGGTGTTGTCTCTGACATGCTGGATGATATGTTGAAGACACATTCAAGATCCTTAATTCACGCTTTTTTATCATTTTCATCTTTGTGTGGCCTGTTTGTAGCTCAGTGGCTCCTCACAATCTCAAAAGACAATCCACCTCTGTCTCATTTTGGCCATGGTTGCTTAATTTGGACCCTGTAACGCGTCACTCTTACTTTGTTGCTTTCATTTTACCATTACACTTATATAATACATTAGTAAGCGTTGCCTACATACAGTCTGCTACAGTATTCTCGACGTATTTTGTTCTCGACTTAGTCTGCATTTGTACCTATGAAAGGAATGTAGATAATGTGGCACACTTGCTTTTCAAATTGTGGTGAAGTTTTATTATTTTAGGAGCAATCGCGTCAGCAGTCACGTGCCTGTGTTAGTTGCTTACGTTCCCCATCTATGGCAGTCGGAGTCGTGACCAAGGCTACAAGCAGGAAAATGTCGAGCCAGGCAGCCTCGCCGTCTCCCGCTGCTTCTCGACAACCAACATGGTCATTCAAGATCTCAATTGGCAGTGTTGCATATTCGTGAACATACTGCGGTAGCGCCTCCTCGAGGTTGAACCCAGCTTTCCTCGTGAAGAAAGGATGCATAACATCTGGCGTGGCCTCGCCCAACTGCTTAACGGTCAGACGCTCGATCTCTCGCGATCGCGGGACGAAGATAATCTCTTGCGACTTCTTCGCCGCTGAATCCTGCGCCGGAGATTTGTCAGACGACTCTCCAGAGGTAGGTGGAGATTGGGCAGACGGAACACCGAGCCTTTGCTCTGTCACTTTTGACGTATCAGAAATCCCAAATCGAGGAGATGGCGATACTACTAGTTGTTGCGAACCCTGCGATCTACTCGGAGTGGAAAGGAGAACCGACTCTACCGAGCGAGAACGGACAGGCGATGAAGGTCGACTAGAATGACGGCTCGGCGGACGACTTTCGGCAGGCGAAGACGATCCATCACTAGGACTGCCGAACGTGAAAGGCGGTGTAGTGGTGTCCGGATTTGCAAACTTCGGGGCTGTTAAACTTGCAGGAGAAACGTTCACAGTTTTCCAATCAGCAGCTTCCTGTGCTCGTTTGAGTTCCCTTGCGAAGGTCTTGCGTAGTATAGTGAGCCAGCTGTAAAGACGAATGTTGAAGGAGATGTGAATATTCTCTCCCCTCTGATCTCCTTGACGAGCAAATTTACTCGTGAAATCATAAGGAAGCACTCTTGAGCCTTCATCAATGCCTTCGTCTGTAATCATCCGCATGTCCATCGCAGGCAGAGAAAAGATGAGATTCTCAGTGCCTGAGAGGTTGCGACCGCTTGTTGTCAGAACATCAAATTCTTGACCAGGTAGGCGAGGGTCAAACCCTTGCTTCAAGAGCTGAGATATGGACATATGAGTCAGAGATAGTTGAAGATCTCTGTGTCCTGGAAGGCCAATCTGTTGTACGGTCCTTTCCAATTGTGCCATCACATTCCGTCCGATAAAACGGGCCAATTCATTGTCACCCTGGGACCTTGGCAAAACAACGAAAACCAGCTCGCTGAGTTGCAACTTCATGTGTTGGTTGATTACATAAGACAGTGATTCGGACTCCTTTAACTTCGACCGCGCCGATCTGAACATGGCATTTGCCACTTCTGATAACGCGTTATCAGGTCTGGGAAGTCGGGTCGATCGGAAGGCTGACGACTCGCGACTCGCACCCTCACGTTGCGCCTCGAGACTGGATTTGAGTTTTCCCGCATACATTAGGAGCTTGGGTATAGCCATGATAGTCATCATCGCCATGACCTTGGATCCAGATACGGAGAAGTACAGATGAAGTTGTCGATTTCTGATTTCAGTTGAATCAGCATCCGTACTCCAATCATCATAAATCTGAGCTTCAAGAGGTTCCGCGCTGATATTAAGTTAATGAGGGTTAGTGACAATGTTAAGGTAGTTAAATTTCACCCTTACCGATATTGCAATAGCCATAGCCAGTCCGACTGGAGTTGAACATCCAATGTGCCGCTCGTCAAGTTCAGTTCAAGCATTCGACTGAGTGGCTGCTTCTCAGTTACACTTGAATATCGCCTTCGGATGGTTCGGAATGCGAAGTCCGGCATCCTCAAATGTCCAGAGAGGTTGCCCTTGGCCTGCAACTCGACTCGATCGAATGATATGGACAACTCGGTGCATTCCGACGTCAGGCGAGCACGAATCAAAGCATCCTGCAGATCGAATATGACGAAGCTTATCGACTGGCCTAAATCTGCATCAAGCTTGATATGCCGTACGCGGATGAGAATTGCCGTATCAAAGCCTTGCTTCGGTGCTTGATCAACCGAGGAGACTGCACTCAGTCTGCTTGGTGAGGTCGCAATTTCACTCCCATCTCCTGTAAAGACGGGAATATTATCAAGCCATACAGCCTTGAAGCATAGGAAATCCTGATAGCGGGAGAACCGTATGCCGCCAGAAAACTCGGTGTCGACGACCACAGAAATGGAGTTGATGTGTCCGCCCGACGATAAACTAGACTTTGAGAAATTGGTGGAGAAAATAAGGTTCCTTGCGTCAATATGGGCTGAATCGTCCGATAAGAAGCCGTGTTTCAAACCAATTGTGAGCCCTTCGATGCTCGCAGATAAAGAGACACCTTTTGCTCCTGGCCCCATATTGAGGACAAATCCCCCGCTTTCCCAGTTGAGGCCAGCAATCACGTTCACGTCCGGCCTGCATGTCAACTCAAGCCGAGACTTGTCAATACGCAAGCTGATGAAGAGTTGGAAATTAGACTGTAGTGAGTCCTCCAAGTCATTCATGCCAGGTATTGTGTCTTCCACAGACGCTGTTGATAGCGACTGGCGGATGCCGGAAGGTGGACGGAAGTCAATGTTCGAAGCTTGTTTCATCCGTTCTTCCACATTATGGACTACTCCAGAAACAAAACTCAGTAGCAGCGGGCGAAGCGAATTGTGGCTCGAATGGACTGTGCTCCTGAAGACAAGGACAGGCGCGCGCATGCCATCTTCGGTAGAGGTCCCAAGCTGCCTGACATCTGCGTGGTACTCTGCGAACACAGTTAGCTCTGGTAACCTGAAAAGTTCAGCATCGGAGTCTAGAATTTGGTACGTCTGCCCAGTCCAATCAGGAGATATGGAAGTAAATGCGGAGGAATCCTTCGAAGTACAGTGCATTCGGACCAAGCCACTCTGGAACCTCAGATCCGCTTCGATACTCGATGTAACGACACTCTTTCTTGCCCTGCCCTTACTGGATGCTTGTGCACGAGTGGGTGAGCTCACTTCGGCGCCGGATCGTGGAAGGCCAGCGGCTAATTGCTCCATGCGCTGCCTACCGTGCTGATATGCGTCGACCAACGAGAATATATACAACGTTATGGATGAGTCAAGGTCCAAGATAAACCCGCTGACCGCCGCTGAAGCGTAGATTCGTCTAGTGGACGAAGACGTTTCAGTACGCATCCTTGCAGTCATTTGCGGGTATAACATCTGGTTCAGAGTATGGTGCCTCCTGGCGGTAAAGTCTTCGGGGTTGGAAGGATCAAACCTGTGATACAATCGTCAGTTAGGTGAACTACAGGGAACTACATTCATACGAACCTTGAGACAAACTGGAAACAAAATCCTTCCATGACAGCCTCGCCAGATTCTCCACGCTGGGTTTCAAATTTGAACGTCTTGATGCTTAATAATAGTGCCTTTGTGGTAAGTTCTTGGTCCAAACCAAGTTTTCGAGCTCGCCGACGAGTAAGATCCAAAGGAAATGCAGCGCCAAGGTTTGATATTGAAATTGCGATAGAGGATTTGTCCAAGAATTTCTGTCGCGTAGCTATTGAAGACCTCCGAGGATACAGGTTAAAAGTTGTCATAACATTCCTCGCTTTCTCCTTGAAGCCTCTTAATTCGGCAGCACGATTTTCCTTTCTATGCATTAGCTCGCCCTGAAGCAGGACATAAGGTGTCAATACGTATTGGGAATTATTAGTAGCAGGTTGGCGTACCTGCAAGTAATCTATGAAATCGCCAATGTCACCCATAAGATGTGCTTGCAAAATAGCATGCAATTTCGTGATATCCAAAGATAGACGGCGATCCTGACCTTGCGAAGGTGACCCACGACTCACTGCTTGGAGATCAATAGAGACTAGGACCGGGAGCTGACCTCGATCAAGATGAGCGAGCTTCTCCTTTGCAAGGGATTTCGGCGATAGATACAATGCCAGATCCGTCAAGGTAACGCTCCATTGCGGTAACCCGCTGTGACTAACCGTTGCGTCGATGTCTGTACATTCCAGGAACTGTGTTGAAAATGGACCCTCCATACCAATTTTAAAACCAGCAAGCTTCGCAGTGACGTAGAACGGTACGGTATCCCTCCTTGACGAAGGCCTTTCCCTGCGAGATTTGGGTTGCTTGCTCCTAGCGTCTCCCAGAATAAGGATCAGGTCATTGAAGTCTTGACCGAACTTCTGTTGAACTGAAAGTAAAGAATCCCAGTGGGAAGGCTTTATCGTCACAGTCAAGAATCCCAGAGCTATCAGGAAACTACTCCCTTCCGTGTCAAAGGATCCAGACCCAGTGATAGAAGGCAGATCCAAAACGATCTTTGTTGGACGCTGAGAAGACCAATCAGCGGAGGTGGAGGATATCCGGAGAGAATGCGACTCTATCTGCAGGCCACCAGAACGGATTATTCCTTTCTCTCCAGATTTTTCTGTGAAGTAACCAAGGACTCCATTAGTAGTCCAGGCTAACCAAGTACCATGCATGACCTGCAAGACAACCGAGGCTGCCTTTACGGAGGCATGGAGGTTGATCCCCATCCTGCGTTTCTCCACCTTTGATGGCTTTGACGAACGGTCTGGTCCCTGTTTGATCTCCGAGAATAGGGATTTTAGCATGGTGTCAAGACCAAGGAGGTAATCTTGTCTCCACTGCTCCATGAACTTGTATAATCGTATAGCACTCCTTGGTACGTTCAATTCCAGGGAAGTTGCATGGACGGTCCCGCGCAGAGTCGAACCATGTGGTGCGTGATACTGGAAAAGAAGGACGGAGAGACTCTTGGTCATGGTTATGCTAGCGAGCGTGATGCTAGCGAGCGTGTTTGTACCTCTCTCCTCAAAAGTCCTTGTCCTCGCCTTCACTTCAAATTTATCGAAGCCGCCTGTATGACTTAGAGATAAGTCGAACGAAGAGCCCTCCAAAGGTTTCGTCGCATGTCCAACGTAGCCTACAGAGAAACCTCTGGACGCAATTTCAAATACGATGTTTTCCGCAGCCGTTTCTACAAGAATATGGTGGAGGGTAGCTCGAACGTCGAATACAAATACCCTGTTATCAAAGAACTCCTTTATGTACGAATTTGACATTGAACTTGGCGTCCCTTTGTCGCCTTCGGTAACTTGGAGGTCGGATTCTCGCGGACGCGTCCTCCAGGCACGCAATGCATTCTGAAGCATCTCAATGATGCTCGGAAAAATGGTGATTTGCAAAGAGTCGACATCTAGTGCGGTAACAAGTGAAATACTGCCGTAGTCGACGTACTCGGACGTAGGCCTGAAACTTCTGATCGTGGACGACTGTGGGGACAGAGTACGAGGTTCGAATAGCATGCGTCTTGTCAGCAAGTCCGCCCGAAAATCGACTCCTTGTATTGTCACGGAGCTTCGAGCTAATGAATCTCCGCTGTCTAGCACTAAGCATAAAGAACCAGCTTGGAATCCCATGGATTTAAGGGGCCTATTGTCGTGCTTGTCGAGGGACGCGTCCGGTAGTCTTGTCTGTTTGGCAAAAAGCGTCTCAATAAGCTCGACCTTGATGAGCGGTAGCCCTTCTTCCATTGCCCACGGAACTTGGCGAGTCTGCACCAAAGTATCCATATCCGTACTTGTTGCTATTGTATTTAGTCCCCGTTTCAGTTCGTTATACTCCTGAGCTGACATGCTTGTAAGGGAGTGCCGAAGGTGAAAGAGGAGCTTCCAGCTATCATCTGAACGAAGCTGCTGCGGTCGACCCTTCTGTACGAAGAAAGCAGGCTGGACAGACGACAAGAGATCCGTCGACATTCGATTACCACTGTGCGCAAGAATCGTATATACCAATTGCTTCTTTTGAAGTCGTATCTGAGAAGAATGGTTTGTTTCAGCGCTCCAGAGTTCTTTCAAGGGATGTTCTAAACTGTTGACAGCCGCGAGGACAACATCCGGGGCGGACCGACAAATACGAAGTTCAGAATTATCATATGATGCTTGTAATCGCAACTTCACGAAGGCGGCTGCAAACCTAGCCATGCTGAAGTCGACTGCCACGGAAGGTACTTGAATGTCGTGCTTCGTCGGCGAACTTGACGTATACAAGAACCCAACCGATCCAAAGGTCCTATTGACGGAGAGCCTGCCAAAAGTGGCATGTCCTGGTTGTGTTGTACGTTTAGACGACGGAAGGCTTATAAGGCCGTGAAGTTCTTCAATGCCTACATTGCTGACGGCAAACGCACGCCGAGTCGGGGTTAGTGGCTCATCAACGGCGTGGAGCTTCAGCAAGTCCGCGATTTCATGTACGACCCGAAGCTTCAGAGAACGGACTCGAGCATTATAGACGGAGATGGAAGATTCTGCGACCGATGATATCCGATCAAGCATCAGCTCGTCAAGACGCAACTCGGGCCCACGCTCCTAAAGAAAGCAATGAGAATACAGTTGAGCAAAGCTGCACAGAAGACGCACTTCGATATTGTGTTGCTCAAGTATTTCTTTTAGTGCCGTGAGACATAACGGTGTCAAAAAAGCACTGGAATGTTGAACGTCCACGCATGTGTATGTGCGATTCTCGTCATCTGGCAACGCCGGAACAGACTTTTTCGAATCTATATCCGATGTCAATTTCGCCGTGTGCAATGATTCATCCGAAAAAAGGCCCGTCTGCAGAACGGGGTTCTATTTCGAACAGTCAGAACCTCGTTCATCCCTATGTCTCGATACATACCTCTCTTCCAAGTACAAATTCAGAATGGCAATCCATTTCTGGCGACTGATGGCGCAAACTCAACTTTCTGCAGAAAGCAAGGTAAGGTATCCGCGGATCAACTCCATCCTCGAGCTCAAAATAATCACTCCAGGAGCTTTCTGAGTCCGACCCACCGTTCTCATCAGATTCGTCAAAGGCAGACGAGCTTTGTTCGGCGTCCGGCCGGTCAAGAGGAAGAGTAGAACTTGTAGGCCGCGAGTTTCTGCAAACGAACTTAGAGCGTCGCATTTTGCAGATATGGGTTGACTTACGCTAGTCTTTCATCTCTGTCAGCTTCAGAGATAAGGTAATCGTCTTCTGAATCGGAATTGATGACGTCCTTTCGGAATGGGCGTCGAGTTGGTGGAGGTGAAGCGTCAATGCCGACCCGAACAGCTGTCTTCCTCGACGACGACGATACGCGTGGAGCATATATGCTCTGAAGATACAAGGTGTTTGACCATCTGACTGGACCTACGAAATGGCATAAGCAAACGTGCACGGAAGGTAGATCCGCTAGCTTACTAAATTGACTGTTAAGGCCCATTATAGTAGCAAAGCGGTGCGTCTGAGAGTCCTGTGTTCGTAAAAATGATTTCTGAATCTGGGCATCCTCACGCCACCCTTTCGGAGCAGAATACAACCCAAGGGAAACACCCGTTCGAAATCTACCAACTTCTAAACATTGCTTCGCTGTCCCGGGCGTCAGCAGCATCTGGATATCGACAGTCGGGATTGCAACGGTCGTCAGCTTTCGGTGTCGAGTGCCTGCGATGTTATTATATGCAAACTGTACGCCGTCCTTGATGTCGACACGGATAACGGCAGCTTCGTTCTTCCACGATAGATCCACACTATTGACGGCTACCTTCAAGAACGTTGCTGATAAACGTATCAACTGATTACTGTAATCAAAATTTTAAAGGCGAAAAGCATACCATCACGTTCCGCGGGAACGACATATTCCGCGGCAGGTGCATTAAATGGATCGACGAAACCGTGCCCGAATGATTTCCCTGCTGCCAATAGAATCTGAGCTTCCATTGTACTCAAAGAACCTTTCACGTCTCCAATGGAGATGCTCCAGATACAAACGTAAGTGGTCGTATGCGGTTGCGGACCGAACAATCGATTAGCAGTGATATGCAATCCTTAGGGAAAACTCGTCAGTGGACGATGCTAGTCAACACAAGGTAAGTTGAGTATTACCTGATATTGATAGCTGTTCTTTTGGCGTTTTGAATGCATGCGACAGCAATAATCTGTCCGGACATGAGTTCACAATCGAAACCACAACCGGGTCCACATTAAAAGACATCTCTGCCGGACGGTTGAGTCCAAGATAGCACATATTTCTATTAAAGACAAACCCATAAAAAAGTCATGCAGACGTAGTTGCACCTGTAACTCCCGAATTGCAATCACTGCACAAGATCCAAGATCGACATCATCCGAGCAATCCTGTTGAGCACGCTCAAAGCCGATAACGCCAGCTGGAAGAACAATGGTGCCATCTCTAGCAGTCACAGACAGGTCAAGGTGGAATACATTACTCTGAGGCTAAATAAGAAACAAGAGCTGTTCGTTCAAATGAAACCTCACTTTTCCGGGTCGATATTTTAAATCGAGTGGGTCACCGACCGCAATGCCACCTTCCCGCTTGCCTAGATACTCCCTGGTGGTGGAGTATTGCGTAAAACCACCAAAGTAGTTTTCTCTGAGGACCATGGTGTGACGGACTATCCACCCGAAGAGTTTCAATGAAGTAGAAGGGATCTTACGAGGAAGTCAGCTATGTGGCTTAAACCTAATTCGGGCCGGAGTCCCCCACCTGGACATCCAGTTTCAGTTGGTCAACACAATCATCACGGACTTCGGCGTGATACATGTACGACCCGTCAAGTCGAAAGAGTCCGACTTGGCCAAAGTTAGTCAATTGCCTGACGGAGGATGGGACAAGCCCATGCGTATTCCATCGTGGAAGGGTCAGGGTTACAGCAACGTCCGGCGCCACGATGGAAAACGACGCTTTCGTGGACAGAGGCCGGAATTTGTTTGAAGGAACGGTTGTGATACTTCTGAGCACGTCTCCCTTCAAAGTAAACAGGACTAAAAACATGTCAGCACTAACTTCATGTAAGATAATCCGGATTCTCACCATTCTCTCGTCTGTCTAACGGACGATCAATAATGTTGTGATCGTTTGCATACAAATTGAGTTCGAAATCGTGTAAGTTCAAGTTAAGACTATAAATTATAGGCACAAAAGTATGAAAGTCATGAGTTGGACCGGTCGACCAATCTTTACCCAAGTCAGTTAGCATATTAACGTGATCACGAATTATGTATAAAGTCGGCTTGTCGAGGGAGACGTTAAAGTCCCAGCTACGTTCGCTGTTCCATCGCAGAGGGGAGGGCAATAATGACTTGACCTGTACACATTTGTCAACCAGCGGAACAACCACGTCTCGAGGCACATACCGAACATGAATAGGCTTCAAGGAGTCTGATATCGTTAAGGCTCGATGTGACAGTGATGTCGTCCATGAAAACGTCTAGTTCAGCAATATATCCCTCCACTGTGGCAATCATGGGTACAAGATATTTCAAGGACGATTTGTCACCAACTCGCAGTTGAATCGAAGCCGCTTCACGCTGTTTCCTTGTCCGCGGAAAGTCTACCAGGCCATCCCATTGCCAGTTCTACGGCCTAGTTAGCATGGCCGACCTAATGATGTAATATAGATGAAATACCTTGGACGGCTCTCTGAAAGGTATATGCAACGTAGTCACCCCTCGGAACTCGAAGAACAGCTTCAAGCAAGTACAAGTACGTTGGTCTCGCGGCAACAACATGGTGCTTGGCTCAATAGCCTGGAACGTCTGCGGGAAAAAGACGCGCTGTAATTGGGCACGTTGTCGATCTGCCCATGGTCCATAACGAAAGCTACCTCCATGAACGACAACATCTACTCCCCATTCTGGAGGCAAATCAGCGTTCCCAATATCCATGAACTCGATCCCCTTCGGATTCTTAAGGCCACCGTGACTGTCCCGGTCCAGATTACCAATTGGTTCGGACGGAACTGGTCCTGCGACATCCGCATAGTAAAGGAGCTCAAGGGTAGGCGTCTCGAGTAGCTTGCGTTCTATCGCGTATTCCAGCGCAGAGAAGTCAGCTCCCACGTGAGACATTTCCTCGCTATCTTTCTTTCCCTTCTTTTTACGTTCTTTATCAGGTTTGACATAGTAGCGACCGCGAGATTTGAAAAACGGAAAATGTTTCCTAGCATGAGTCCACAACTTCTTGAAGTCACTGTAGTTCAGCGGAACCATGATAACGCCGGTAATAGACCTATTAACTTGGTAAACAACGCAAATTGCAAAGAATTTTGGACCCGCTTACTCCGACTCTGTGAAGGTTTCGTTCACACTCTTCCCTATGCCGGTGTTGCTGGTCCAATAATCAGGATTTTCGACAAAACTGATTCCTGCGTCTTTGAAGGTGATCCGAAGCATTTGCTTGTAATCATCCAATTTCGATCTTGGCTGGACAATTCCGTAGGTTCCTGCGGCGGACGCGAATTGGCCCAGAAGGAGATTCTCGGTCGTGTGATTGCCCATTGTAATAGCACCTTTGTCGACCGAAAAGCTCAGGGGCAAGAGGTTCTTAGGGTCCAAATCAGGTAGCTGAGTTCTTATCCAAGATGACAGCTTGCCAACGAACGAAGGCAATTTAAACGTCGCAAGAGCTCGTCGTCCCGTCACATTCACTAGAGTGCCGTGCATGAGATAGAGAAAATCGTTTGGGCGAAAATTAGCTTACAGCGTGGGTGTTTTTCGTCGTGAACTATGGAATGGTCGATTGAATGGAGATTTGATTCGCGACTCTTTGTCCTTACTCCAGCAAGCTCTGGATTTGCAGCAGCTAGCTGTGATAGGATGTTGTCGAATGAAGCAGTTCTGTTGTACATGAACCATTCAAGCCCCTCCATCGAGACGTGTATTCTGCAGCGTGGAGCGTGTTCAGCCCCATCTGAACGACCGTCTGCCAGATCCTCCTCTTCTGCGACACGCCGAATCCACCACCTCCAGCTGAGCTGGCATTTGACAATTCGAACCGTTTGATTACACGAGTGGTAGCGTACATCACGAAGCAATATTCGACCAGAAATCAATGAAAGATGTGCGGAACCTAAAGAGGCAAGATAATTGCATTATCCATACAGCGTAATGCAGTTATACATACCGAAGTCCACCCATATTGCCGAGCTATCCTGAGTCCACAGTCCGAGCCTTACGAGAACTCCGAGAATCCATCCGAATATGCGATTCCAGAAGAATAGATAGAGTATTGTGCCAATAGCAATTGCAACACAGGCTACTAGCAGTACGACGCTTAGCATGACCTAGGTCTCAATAGTGACCGAAAACGCTTGGAGCAGTTTCGTATCTCAGCAATTGGACTGCGAAACTCCAGTTATGATATTCCCAGCCAGCCTCAGAGCATTGATTAGATTCAACGTCAAGTGCAAGCAGAATGAATATGGCACAGCACGAAATGTCGACCATAGTACGTATTTGTCCTGTCTTTGCGAGTCTCGAGTCACGGGACCATATCGGGACCATGTGACCAGTTAATGTCAGTTCAAGAACGCGTTTACTTTCTTGACTTTGCAATTGATCACCACCTTCAAGGCTTCAACTACAAGATGCTTAGTGCACGACCTCCTTCCAACCATTACGAAAATAATGAATATGCAAGAACACAGGGCTCCAAGACACCCGGAAGAGCCCTCAAGGGCCGTGCTGGTCTTCAGGAAAATGTGCTCCACAATGGATCCATGACCGCAAATCCAAAAGAAAAGCGAGTAACTTTACAGACCCCATTTCGCCAAGGAAGCAACAGTGAGTGAAAATTGCTCGTGTAGCATCGCACGCTCTTACGAAACGTGAAAACAGAGTTCGTATTGCAAGATACACACGCGTCATCGAAAGCAGCCACCTTCTCCACTTCGCGACCCTTAGGAGATAAGACACCAAAACCAAACCGTCAGAGTCTGTCTCTATTTTCTCCTGGTCCACGCACCGGAAAAACTGGGAAATTTGAACTATCCTCCCTTCAAGATGAGATTGAAACACAGTCTCCCAATCAACCACCGAGTTCCTCCCGAAAGAAACTTCGTCAGCCCAGGGTCAGTAAAAGTTTTCAGACGCCTGTGACGAAGGGAGATCATTGGAATGTGAGCGATGTCTCTATAGAGGCAGGGAATTCCACCCTAGGAGAAATTGACGAAGGAGATGCAAATGAACCGGACGACAGTGAACCAGAATACATGCCGCCTAGAGCAAAAGGTAAGCTTGGAACTGGTCCTTGTCAAGCGGAACCTGACAACATCACAGAGTTGCCATACGAACCTCCGTTTGAGATGCCAAATTACAAAGAAGTCGGACAGATGCTCCGGACCCTTGCATATTCCTATCCCGAGGACGACACACCTTATGTTTATCGATTTGACTCCGAGGATCTTCTGAAAGGCTGTGAATGGTCTGTAGAGCATATGAAACTCAGCCTTCCCGAGTCCGGTATGTCTAACATCAATGTGCAGCAATCATCAGGATCTGAATGTTTGTTTATTTAGATGACGACGAGATTTTTGGTCCCCGCAAACAGCAGCCAAAGGTCAGTGATCGTACCAAGTCCTCGTCAACAACAGGACCGAAGCGGACAGTATCACGTCCTGACCTTTCAAAGGCTCCGCGGGTAACCCGGAGTGGTACTCCAGCTGCCCCTCCACCACGGCCAGCAACGTCGACAGCTATTCGAGCACCCGATAAAAAACTAGTTTCGATGTTGCCGCGACCGGGTACATCAGCATCGAATACGCGTCCCCAAATTGCAAGGGCTGTCTCTGGTGGTTGCATTCGGCCGACTCCGTCCATTGCAAATAGGGCTGTAACCAGAAAGCCAGGCAGCGACGACATACTTGCATCCCACTTCGTCAACGACCTCGAACCTGAAGACGACTTCCGTTTCGCATTATGATCCTCTCCGTGCATATACTGTCACCAATTCGTGACACCTCAGTAACATTATTCCAACACCTTGATTTGTTGACTACATTATTGTTTCATCGCCCAATACATTTCTTGTATGCAAGCTAGATATTATGGAGAACTCCCGTGTACAATAATTGAATTGTGCAAGACACGTAGCGCGCAGAAGACTGTCAGCTTCCACAATTATATTCGGAATATTATTTCCTTTCTGAACGGAATAACCTCGCTTGACAGAAATAAATTCACGTGATGTAATTAACTGTGCTCACCTCCGCGGCTTCTCTGAAGTCTTTGACAATTTGTTTCTTCCATCAGATTCATGTACAGGTTTTCTTGGTCTATCATACAATTCCTTGATCATAAATACCTCGTGGTGGCGCATCTCAGCTTCTTTTGTGGTCAGCTGCAACTTCACCGGAGCGCGGCTCAGAATGAACCGTTGCATAAGAGGTCGTCCTCAAGTAAACCATTGCGGCTCGAGGACGTTCGTACCAGTCATCTCACGCACTTTATCAAATAAGACTTGGTCCTGGGGGACTTCATAAGTCCAGAAGGAAGAACAAACTCTTTTTTCATGATACAAACACAATCCGCTCTAAAAATAGCCCGGGACGCTCGATTGTCGGACTCACATGGAGGAAGGGGGAATGCAGGGTCGTAATGCGCTTGACGACATTGGATCCGCCCCGTTCCGGCACTATAAAGGGCGCGTCATATGGATTTATCATTTGAGGCCGCTTGGCACGCCCGCTATGTTGTTCCTGCAGTATTTCCTGACTGTGCTATGCCTCTCGCTCGTGTCTCTCGCACAGAAGTATAGCCTCTCAGACCTACAGTGGACACTTAAAAATTCAAATGGATCCATCTCTGTCCCTGCGCAAGTTCCGTCACAAGCTCATCTCGATCTCCTGCGAGCAGGAATTATCACGGAGCCTTTGCTCGGCGCGAATGGTTGGTATATTTACACTGGATCTGTCAAGACTATATTAATAGCAAAAGTTATAATAAGATTTTACGCAGAGATGGGTTGCGAATGAGAACTGGACATATACTGCCGATTTGAGTCCTTTCACAGCTACTCTGGAGGGAGGATCGACGGAAAAGACACTACTTGTTTTCTATGGCATCGATACTGTTGCCAATATTGTGAGTGCATTAACTTGATTAAATCTAAGGATTTTGACTGATAGTACCTCAGACAATGCTTGGACAGCCTGTTGCATGGGTAAACAACCAGTTTAGGCAATATGTATATGACGTTTCAGCGATTCTGGCAGGCAATAGTTCGAGTGGTGACGATAACTTGACTGTCGCATTTGAGGCAGCAAGTACATATGGGCTTAATGTCAGTTCAAGACCAGACGTGGAGTGGGACCTAGAGGGAATTTCTGTGGTGAGTAATAATCGTTGTTTGATGTTACAATAGTCTTAAATGTAGTATAGTTTGAATATCCTGGAGGACATCCATGGGTACGAAAAACTGCCTCAGATTTCGGTTGGGACTGGGTAAGTCGGAAAGGTTCTTACGCGACAAAGATGGTATAACTGTCTCTTGTAGGGACCTGCTTTCGTTCCGAGTGGAATATTCAAGCCAGCATACTTCATCGCCCTAGGAGACAGCAACTCGACCACTACTTCATCTTCAGTATCATCCGTCACTTTTGGTCCATTCGTATTTGTCGAAGAGAAGTCGATCGAAATATCGAAAGTCGGTCAAAAGCCTTCACTTCGACCTAATGAAACCGCCGATTGGCTAGTTAATGTCACGCTTGGATTACGATCCTCTCAAGCATTTGATAACCTCAGCATGATCATTTCGTTCCCAGAGCTTAATGTGACATCTGAAGCTCTCCCGCTTGCGTCAATTCCGGGAGACACTTCTCAGTCAACGTTTGTATCAGCGAACATGACTGTACTAGACGGAGTTCCTGAGCGTTGGTATCCTCATAACCTTGGTACACCTCAGCGATACAATATCACTGTCTCACTCATCCCTGCGAATGTTACTTTCACCACTACGACCGGCTTCCGTACTATTGTCCTGGTGCAGGACCCGTATCCACAGTCGGATGTGGAGACAAGAGGCATAACACCTGGCGATCAGTTCCATTTTGAAGTCAATGGCAAGGCGTTCTATAGCCTGGGCACTAATATCATCCCCTTTGATCCGTTCTACTCTCGAATGACCACTGCACAAGTACGCTGGGTAGTCGAGAGCGCAGTTCTGAGCGGGCAAAATATGGTATGTTCAGACCGTCGTTCATTCACGCAGTCGTTGTTCTTACGACATTTCTAAATATTAGCTCCGAGTTTGGGGTGGAGGAATCTACCAACCTTCCGACGAAGAAACAGGCGTATACAATTTCTACGAAACTTGCGACGAACTCGGAATACTGGCCTGGTCTGAACTCATCTTCTCAGACAACCTTTACCCGATCAACGATTTTCTTCTCGAGTCGATTGCACCTGAAGTTCGACAGAACGTAAGACGCACGAACAGGCACCCCAGTAATGCTCAATGGGCAGGAGGCAATGAGATTGAAGGAATTGTTGAAGTCGTCAATACGACGCTTGCTAATGGGACGCACTATTTGGATGAGGTAAGTTATAACGGCCTCCTTGGTGCTTGCCTGCTGATAAAGGGCTATAGTTCGTCGAGTTGTTCCAAGACTTCTTGCATGATATTGTGCTTAACGAAACGTCTTCGGTATGGCACCCACTCTTGTAGTCCGTTTTGCTTCTGATTAGGATTTTAACGAAGTTATCATATACGGATTGCTCAACGACGAGCGGCTATCTTAGTCTCGATCCGTATGTCCTGAGATTCCGCAACGGGACACCTGGAGAAATCTATGGGAACAGCGGTACGTTGCGTTTTCCGCGAAAATCTCGTGCATGACTGAATGCTCTCGATATCGCCTCAGAGCGTTATAATTATGATGCATCCCAAGCATTCAACTATAGCACATATCCAGTTTCTCGGTATGTTGATTTAAACACCACCTTCACTACACCTCATTGATTGGAGCTCGCGTTCAGCTATGTGAATGAGTTCGGGTTCCACTCTATGCCTTCCTTCTACAGCTGGGAAGAAGTACTCGAATCCCCAGACGACTTCTCTTTCAACTCAACAATCGTCTTCTCTCGCGACCACCATCCTCCAGCAGGAGGTCTTACCTGGCCAAATCCAAACGCCAACCAAGGACAAGCGCAAATGACAGAAGCAGTGGAACTTTGGCTACCTACTCCCGGGACTAACGATTCGAATCAGACGTTTGCTCAATGGTGTTGGAGTACCCAGATTTTCCAATCCCTGAACATGATTTCTGAAATAGCTTGGTACCGACGCGGTGCGGGACTCGGAGAGAATAACCTTGGTGCGCTGGTGTGGCAGTTGAATGATATTTGGCAGGTTAGTTTCCATTTACTCGGGCGTATTCTCAAAGGCGTCTCTGACTTGGTATAATCTAGGGTGTAAGTTGGTCAAGTATCGAATACTCTGGACGCTGGAAGGTCCTACAATACGCTCTCGGCGGGGCCTTCGCACCGGTGACTATCTATCCATTCTGGACACCGGAGAACCAAACTCTCGAAGTACTCGTTACCTCAGACCGTTGGGAGACTGTCAACGGGACTGCGCAACTAACGTGGTTCAACTGGGCAGGCAACGTGTTGAACTCCAGTTCACATAACTTCACGACTCCGACTCTCAATAATAGCGTGATATTCTCAGCTACGGGCCTTGAGAATATCCTCCCTACGGGAGCAAATGCATCTGATGCATGGATGCTCCTTAACGTCACTGCAGAAACTGAAAGTGGACAAGTTACGAACGAGCAATACGTAAGTGCCGAGTACATATGCTCGAACGGTTTGCGTACTCACATACCCAACTAACTTTTTTTCGCACCCTAGTTCACCCCGACACCATTGGCCAATGCTTCACTTATTGATCCGCAAATTAACGTTACGAGGGGTCCAAACCTGACTTTTACACTTTCTGCTCAAGGTGGCGTGGCGCCTTTCACTTGGCTAGACCACCCATCAGGTACCGTAGGCATTTTCGTGGACAGCACAACTGGCAAGCCGTCCAACGGATTTTATCTGGTTCCAGGGAACGATAGGACTGGTACGTTACTGCTTACTACTACCTCTCCCAGATAGATAGTGCTCAATTAACAATCTCTTTAGTTCAATTTGTCTTGAACGACGGTCTGTCGAAAGTGTCCGATCCCGATCCTGCGGACTTCGTTGTTAGGTCGTTATGGAACAATACACATGCATAAACCAACGGGCATGTAAAATACACAAAAAAAATTGGGTGAAATAGCAGCGAATGAATGTATAATTAGTGTTTCTCAAACAAGCAGTATCTTTTCTACCTTCCTACTTTTAGCTCTCCTACCTACGCTTTTTTTATGCCATAAGTGACATGCGAGCAAGAGGTAAGCGATAAAATCGCATCGAGAAGTATTTCCTCGTCCCTCCCCATCTATCAACTTCTTCCTGCTTTTCGCCTTCTTCAAATAGGTCCACGTCACTCCAGCTTACGCTGAGACCGACGTTTGATAGGTGCAGTTCGGAGAGTTGTGTGTAGACATCGTAAAATAGGGCGTCTGTATGCGCATATAGTTAGTCGACTTTCTTTGATTGAGCTAAAGAAATTGAAAGGGGTGAGGAAAGGGAGGAAGAGGACGTACTCGTCGCTCCAAGTCCATTAAAGAAGCTGAATCGAGCCTCAGGTCCGTTCAGTAGGTCTGGTAAATGTTCAAAGAAAGCGCGGAGATCTGGTATAGCAATGACCGAAAGAAAGAAACAGGCATCATCGGTTTCACACACAAATCCTGAATATAAAGACTGTTTACCCTCATAGTTCTCTGAGAACGTATCGGTATAAACCACATCGAACCCTCCAACACCCATAATTTCTTCACTCTCGATGAGGTCTTGCCATTTTCCTTCTAAGATGGTTACTCCAGGTTTGTTGTACCACCCCAGTTCACGCATGTGTTGTAGGACATCTGGATGAGCTTCGATTATGAAGTGTTGTTTTGGAGGATTCGGTAGGGATTGGAACATCGAGTCGATCTGAAAACGATGCAGTTAAACAGTGGTGAACTTCTATTTTTATTGTGAATGAGAGGGGACACGTACTATTCCAAGACCAAACCCAACGTTCAGTACTGAGTATTCACCATCAAGCCCTTCACAAAGCTTATTCACAGTCTCCTGCACTTCCAACAAAGGGACATCAATCCAGGTCACGGAAATCAGTAAAATTAGGACGTACTAATGCCTCTCTCCCAACCCATCATAACACCCACCTCTTCCTCACCAGATCTAACAACACAAACGTCCTGTCCATTCTCATCTTTCCTAAACACCAAACGTGAGTTGAGGAACTCCGTTGTTGATCCGGCAGCTGTCTCGTCGTTTGCACGAAGGATGAGAGATGAAGATGAGGTTACAGGTGATTTCTTTTTCGATAAATGCGAGAGGAGAAATTCTGGAGGGGTGCATATATTCAGTTTAACGATAGGAATTGAATAATAGACAGCAAATGATTTCGTACCGGATCGAAGTCCTGCATCCCGTATTGACCTATAACACTCTTCGTTATTCAAAGACAGGGCAACGTCTCCTGCTGTATTTCCAGAGTTATCCACTAATCCAAGACCAAAATCAAAACTCAAAACTCCATCCCTCTTAAATAATTCAAGTATAAATAGCACACGCACCAGCATTCCAAACAGCCCCCCTCTCAATCAACAAATCCACAAGCTCCTTACTCTCTACATATGCAGCAGCATGTAAGGCCGAGTTACCCTCTTCATCATCTTGATACCATAACGGTGCGTCTTGGTCAATTATCAAGGCTTTAATCTCGTCGAGTGACTTTTTGCCAGAGCCGAATTCAAAGATTGACTCGATGAGTGTGGACCCGAGTTCGATGAGCGCGTCGATTTCTGGTTGTGATTCTTGGCATGCCATACATGGGGATGAAGAAGGTGAATTCATTGGAATTGGAAGTTATGGTCGGTGAGATTTAGGAGGAGCAGAGCAAGTGTTTTTGGTGACTGATTCGGTGATTGGTGAGGATCGACGCGAGAATTTCAATTAGATTCGCATTACATTTTCATCTACAATCTTACGCAACTACTGTAATTTGATTAGTTCTCTGTGCGGACCTTGTTAAAACTTTAAATAAGTGTAATTATTTGCCCTATTTAATATACGGTGGTAGCTTTTATACGTAGACATAATAGTCAAGTCTCTACTCGTCGTACATACGGAAAGAACGAGGGTATATTAAAAGAGCGGCATGTTATGAGATATTAAATACATTGGGTTAGTCTAAATGTCTCTGTAGTTAATAGTTGTTAATAGTTAAAAGTATCCATGAGTATGTGCATATGCACACGCAATGTAAGTTCATCAATACAAGCCCATTCATCAACATAGTCCAAACACCATCTCTCCTCCCCCTCCTCTCTAAACGCGCTAAAGTGCCACTAAAACCAGCTCAGGGCCATCCACCATAACCAACGACAAACGCAGCGGCACCAAACAGCGCAATAGCTCCTGTTAAACCCGCAGAAGCAAGCATAGCAGATGCACCCATCGCTCCACCCGTACTTCCAAAACTCGTCGAACCACTAGAATCCCATTTCCCTCCGCCTCGACCGTTGGAAGTTGCTAAGACTGCTTGGTCGACGGTTGCTGTGTTTGCTGCTGCCGTCTACACAACAAAACCATAAATCATCATTCGTTAATACAAAAAACAAAATAAATGCAGGATTGTAAGGAAATGGTACGTACAGCTGCTGCAGTTGTTGCGAAAGTCTGCGTAGTCTTAGGACCTGACTCGCTCAATGCGTCCGAGTTGAGGAAGACTAACGCGGCTCCTGGGGCAGGAACGGGTATCGCACAGACGTTGTTTGCTTGATCACATTGATATGTGTAAATCATCTCTTGACCTTGCATGCGGCCATCAGACTCGAAGGGTCCGCCGAATGACTATTTGAAGTATTAGCGCAAGTTTCTCGTTTTGACTGGAAGGATATTTTTTTCCCGCTTACCTGCCCGGCCCAAGTGATACCAAACTTATCCGAGGCTGAGTTTGCAAGCAGATACTTCACTTGTACGCTCGCAGGCGTCGCACCAGGTGTGTTGGTGGTATTCCCACCCACACTGATGTACGCGGTATAGTTACTCGCACCAGATGAATCGGTCAGGAAGTTCATCAATACGACACGCGCTGGATTGCCATGTTCGTAGATGACGTAGCCAGGTGTCCATTGGCTGTTACTGTTCATGAAGAGGTCAACGACTTGAGCTGCGCCTGATGAACCGAACGCTTCGGTGAGGAGTAGCATGGGGTAGAAGGTTGATCCGATTGTCCATTGGCGGATGTTTGTCTGGTTCGGAGCCATGGGTGTGAAAGCCTAAATGCAAAGAGCGTCAGTCATTGCGTATCTGGATGAGGAAAATGAAGCACGGCTACGTACGTTGTAGAAATCACTCTGACCGCCGACGTGATAGAGTGCATGCGAAAAGTTGGTCATCGCCATGTTCAATGAATAGTCCACTGTCCACAACGAAGCAGCAAACGAATCACTGAGACCCGAGAAACCACCACAGGATGCAGTGTTTGTCTCAAACATGACGACGGGCTTCCCAATTCCTTGTGCAATGTTCGTGGTGTTGATGTATCCCGTGTTCGTGCCTTGGACAGCATTATGGTTGAGGAAGGTCGATTCAAGTATGCTCTGCGGGTCAATGACCGTACCCGACGAGTTGCAGTTATTCGTCGGGTAGCTGACGAAAGGTGAGATAAAAGAGACTAAATGGAAAGAGCTGTATAACGTACCGTTGCACAGAAATCCATGATAAATGGTCTTTGTAGTTATCCAAGAAACCAGTATCCCAGACCATCTCAGGCGTCCAGCCGGGCATGGGACCACAACAAACACTCGGAGCAATAAACATCGAGTTGTTCGAAATACTAGTGTCACTCATATAGGCTTGAAGAACTTGTCCCCATTCCGAGTTGTACTGAGTCGGGTTATAGTCTGCAGGTCGGATTTGGTTGTTGAAGTACAAATCAGGCTCATTTCCGAGTTGTAGTCCCAAGAGATTGTCGCCAAGAATTTTCTCGCCTAACTCTCCCATCAGCAACCGAGGGTTTTGGGTATCGTTGAATGGTACACCGAGGAACCATTTGATGGGTAGAAGAGATGAAATGTTGTTCATGGCATATAAGATATTGGGTGAGACTAGCAGCCTTGGAGTAAAGGTCTTTATATCGAATAAAAATCAGCATATACACAGTCAACGATGTTATGCATAAGAATCCGGCATACCGTACTCGCGTTGTCATCTGCTTTTTCGATAGTCTTACCGTCTGGCAGGCCGTCTGCCAAGATGGTAGCCTTGTCTTGCGTATTTCCTCCAATACGTAAATAGAGCATTCCAGCCCTAGAAGTGAGTGTAGACATCAAGTTGAGGAAGATGGGGTTCAAGTGGTCGCCATCGGATCCGACTGTAAGGAACGAGTTTCAGTATGTCAGTAGGGAGTTTCCTTACCATCAAAGCGGCAAAATGCACCACGGCTACGATAAGCTGAACAGACATACGAAGTTTATCTGCAATGGATAATTCAATAGAGAATCCGCCGAAATGGCCAGGGATTCCGATGGAGAGCCCGCTCATTCCACCGCTGTAGAGCTGCACCGGAATGCTGGGATTGAAGTTCGGCTGACCACCAGGAGGTGTGAGGACTCGTCCGTCGCAAGCGACTGCACCAATACATGTCGTGGCCAACGCTCCGCTTGCATCCGTGGTAGCCGTGCCATAGACGGTGACATTTGCAGCGACATTGGTCGCATAAAGCGCAAGGGCTGCTGTTAGAGTCCGTAATATCCTAGACACCATGGTGGTGAGTAGGGGAAGATGTAGAGAAAGGAGATGAGAGAAAAAGAAAAAGGAACGACGCTGAGAGAGGAGGCGAAAGTGAGAAAGTCTTGGCTTGCTTGTCAATTGCCTAACTGCCGTCGCGACATAGGCTAAAGGCGGCAGCTCCGATCACCCATATTAGGCATACGCGAGTATAATGATAAATTCAGAATAAATACTCTACTGCCTCTCTGGTAGACATTCCTAAATGGTGTGCGCAACGATTACTGACTCGAGGCTTCCAAGAAAAGGGCATGCTAGAAGCCTGAAGAATATTAATCATTGCTAGGGCAGTGCCGTCCTTCTTCGTCTTTGGGCGGCTAACGAAAAAAATCCAACGATTTCCCCCTACCTATAGGTAAATAAGCATTAAAGTGGTGGGAATGCGAAGCCAATATGCCTCTTCATTTGCGAGAACCCTGAACAGTGCAAAGCAAATTGCAGTAGGATTTCCTGTGGACGATGACGACATCGAGATCAGAGACCCAGAAACGGAAGGCATGTTTGGCAGTATTTGTACGCGCAGATCGGGCATTTGCCGATCGTTGAATGGACTCACAGCTCTTTCCTCGCGCTGCTGTGTTGCACTCAGCCCATCATAAGCGCCTGTCTCCGCTCCCGTCCTGCTCCCTCCGGTGCAACTATCAGACTTCAAATTCTAAAATGAGCAAGAAGGGTGCTGCTAAGCCTAAGGATGAGACTACCTATGAAGTACGAGATATCGTGCTTGCCAAGATACGCGGTTTTCCGCATTGGCCTGCGCAGGTACGTCGCGTCGCGTTCTCCCGTGCTGAATACTGGCTCATATCGCTCTTGTTCTGATGTGAATAATGCTATTATACCTGCTTAGGTGGTAGATCCGGCGAACGTCCCTAGAGACGTTGCGAAGGAACGGCCTGCTGGCAAAAAATCAACTTTCTACTGCGTGAGGTTTTTCCCCGCAGGCGACCAGTGCGTCACTGTCTCTGGCCTTCTGACTTAATCATCCAATGACTCCATTCTATTGCCGTGACTCTATTTTGTCATCCCATAGTGCATGGGTACCTCCAAAGGACCTATCAAAGCTGCAGAAACACGAGATTGAAGCATACATAAACGACCCTCCAAACAAGAAGAAAGGCGGCGACCTTCTAAGCGGCTACCAAATCGCGCTGAACCCTGAGCCGTGGGAGCGTGAGATGGAAGCTAAGCGGGAGGCTGCTGAGGAAGCCGAAGCGGACGAGGAGGTGGATGAGCTCGAGGGCGAAGAAGAGGCAGACGAAGACGAGGAGGAGCAGCCTGCAAAGGTGAAAAAGAGAAAGCGCGAGTCTGAAGGTACTACAAAAACGAAAGCGAAACCCAAGAAGGAGAAGGATGCAGGTGAGGGGGCTGCGAAAAAGAAGAAAACTTCGGATAAGGCGGACAAACCACCCAGATCTAAGAAAAACGGCGGCAAGTCCAAGGAAACTATCGAATCTGAGGACGAAGGAGAGCGCACGGAACATGGCGGGTCTAGGAAGAAGACATCTCCTCCGCCAACAAAGAAGACTAAGCGCGACAAGGACGAAGATGGTGACGGTGGGTCACCTTTTTGCCGTTTTTCCCTCTAAAATCGGGCTGATCATCCTCATTTCCCTTCTATGGATAGCATCAGGCGACCTGGAGCGCGATCCAGAGGCAGCGAAAGTCAAGGAGTTGAGGCACAAACTTCAACGTGCCTTTTTGGGAAAGTCAACACCCAAACCCGAGGTTTGTTCACTCATACGTGTTTCAGCATACCCTGTATACTCATGCCCTACTCCAGGATATGCAGGGCGTCGACTCTCTGTTCCAGCAAGTGGAAGAATTTGACATCTCACTTAAATATCTCCAGGTTTGTGTTTACCCCGTGTGAAAATCCCCTCTCACCTTCACAACAACGACGCGATAACCTTCTCGACACTCCTTTCCAACTCCTCTCACTCCTACAAACCATCTACTGACCAATTTACGTACAGTATTCAAAGATCGGAAAAGTCATGCGCCATATTGCAGCTCTAGAAGTCGACAAAGTACCCCGCGATGACGAATTCAAGTTCAAAGACCGTGCGCAAGCACTAGTGAATAAGTGGCACAATACAGTACACAAGCAAAATGGTTCTGCAGAACCGCCAGCTAGTACTGCGAATGGTGACTTCGTCGCACCTCCACCGTCGGCTCCGTCCGAAGCGCCTCTTACCGCTGCGTCAACGACGGATGATAGTATTAATAAGAAGATGGACGAAAGTCCTAATGCGAATGCGAATGCGCAGCCCGCAGTGGGTGATACGACGCTTGCGGAAAGTGCTTTGGGCGATGTGACTATGTCGGAGGTTGCTGCGTGAAGAAGGATAATAAAGCAGATTTTTTTCTCTTTTTTTTTTTGGCGATTAGTTGCCTCGGTATAATTGTATGGCACCCCCTTTTTGCCTTTGGCGATAGCTTTCTCTCTTTTTTTTACGTGTTTTTCTTTGTCTCTTCTTGTGAACTACGCTTTCACTTGCTCCTCGTACCTAATCTCTTTCTCTTCGCTTTTTCTTTTCTCTCGATAAAATCGCTCTCTTGCGCTACCTTGTCAACCTGTCTTTTCCAGAGCTATGTCAACTAATGCAGAGAAATCTACTCAAATGTGTTGTTATGCATTACCATGAATAAACAAATTCATAAGACGTTTGTTTTTTTATTAAAAAGACGCCTTATCCTCTTGGATGAGAGATCTTCACAAAAAGCGACGCCGGCAGGATTCGAACCTGCGCCCTCGTAGAGGAAGAGATAATTCGTGGGAAATTCGAATCTCTCGCGTTAACCACTCCGCCACAGCGCCTTAACAAGGGAAGGCTTTGTGTACTCTCATGAAGCGAGTAAGGGCCAGTCTTACAGTGAAAGAAAACATCAAGTGAACACCGAGTTCCTTACTCAATTTACCAGAACATAGACTCAAGTCACATAAATGTCAAATCCATCAAAACCCATTCTCTTTGATGAATCAGTAATGCTTAACCATCATAGTACTTAAAACTTTCACTGAGAACTGCTCTTCCAAGCTTCAACTTGCTTCTACAAAATCATCAAGTATTGTGGTTTCAGTTTTTTTATATTCACTAGCAATTACACATCCAATTCTTTCTATCTACATTTCCTCTGCTCATCCTAACTTCCTCTCAGCTACAAGAGGATTTTCTTTTGTAGCATCCCCGAGAAAAGTCAGAATAAAAAACAATGGAAGGGGGTTCTCCAAAAATTGCTAGATGCCGAAGCAAGTAGACGGTGTGGATGTGTAATTTGCAATCAGCAAAAGACTGTGCCTCGGTAAAAACCTCACTGGCGACAGTACATGCCCGAGCACAAGAGATGGGGAACGCGATCGGTGAGGTGCGCGGTTTTTGTAGGTCGGTGAAGGTTGCGCACGGACCAGGTGCCTTGAGAGGGTGATGGATGGCACGTGCTCTGTGGCTGCTTTAACGCGTTACGACGCGAAATGTGAAATGTAGACGCGTTCGTCAGTTTCTTTGATCTTCAATCTGTCGGAGAAATGGAATACGTACCGCATTTACGAAGAGCGGTGAAAGACTGTTCGGACAGAGGGTTGTATTTTGCTTCGAAATGGTGCGATCCCATTATGTCCTTTTAATATTTACAATCATCTAACTCGATGCTCATGAAGGGCCTCAGAACTACTGTTATCCATCCCAGCTGAGAAGCGCAATTCCAAATCTGAGGGACAAACAAGCGCGATATCCATGACAGATGCAACTGCAGAAGCCACGGAAGTAGACCAAGAAGAAGAAGAAGAGCAAGATATCCTTGCCGCAGCTCGGACATATGCTGAAGCGAAGGAGTATATGCGAGCGTCTAAGTTACTACATGAATGCAAAAGTGCTCGAGGTAGATTTATGCGCTGGTATTTTGACTTCCTGGTGCGTCCGCCATTAGTAAAAAAGGTGGTGTTCTCTGATAGGAATATAAGGCAGAAGAGAAGAGAGCTCTGAGAGACTGGCATAACCTCGATTGTGTGTTTAATAACAGTCCAGATGTATCTAAAAGCTAATTCACTTAAAGATGCTTTATCACAGAATAGTGAGCCTCTTCCAAATATCAAGCAAAAGCATTTTTTAACTTCGCAGCAGCGAAGTCATCGCTTGTTCCACACCAGCCATCGACTCCAGTCAACAAATACATCCAAGAGTTATTGGAGATGGTTGCCGATGAAACGGACCCGTGGCTCCTATTCTTGTGAGTATTATCCACGCGTTTATAAAAGCTCAGTTAACCTCGAGACGGTTCGCAGAAAGGCACTATTTCTGAAGCGTCTATCCCGGAAGGAAGAGGCCGTAGAGGCCGCTATCCTCTCAATTAAGGGTTATCCATGGAATTGGTCTACCTGGTTACTTTTAGCCAATTGTCTGGGTGATCGAGATGAGGTGAATATGTGTAAACCATTAAATGTTACTTATACTGACTGTAAACGTGGAGCTCGGAGCTATCATTTCTCTAATAGATTTACCACCCAATCACCCATTAATTGAATTCTTCAAGATGAAAGTTATTGTGGACCTTCATGCCCCAGTCGATGAGGATCTCAGGACGATCAATCGACTCTTGAAGCCGGACTTCTTTCCTGAGAGTGCTTGGTTAATGGGTTTACGGGCAGCCACACTGTACCATTTGCATGGTATTCCGTTTACCATCTGCATTACCTCTGTAGAGTTGTTTTACTTACCTTGTTGCAGATTTCCACCGCGCCGAGGTACAATTCGACATGATAATGAAGGTTGACCCAATGCGAATCGACGACATTGATATCCTGTCAAACATCCTCTACGTCGCGGAGAACAGGGTCAAGCTCTCAAAGCTTGCACATCATTACCTCAACATCGACAAGGATCGACCGGAGGTTTGTTGTATGGTTGGTAATCATTATTCGCTGCGAGGAGAGCCGGAACGCGCGATTCAGTATTTCCGACGAGCGACGGAGCTGGATCAGTCGTATTTACCTGCGTGGACGCTTATGGGTCATGAATATGTTGAGATTAAGAACTCGCATGCGGCTATTGAATCGTATCGAAGAGCAATTGGTATGCTGCGGACCTTTCGGCTAATCGTGCTGGCTAACTTGTTCATTGGATTTCAGATGTCAACCGAAAAGACTACCGGGCATGGTACGGTCTTGGACAGGCTTATGAACTGCTCAATATGCATCAATATTCCTTGCATTATTACCAACGAGCAACTGCTTTACGGTATGTGTTATCTAGTTCAATAGATATTGCACCCTTCCCCTCCTGACTCTAATTAATTGACAGACCTTACGACGTACGAATATGGCAGGCGCAAGGAATGTGCTATGAAGAGATGGGAAGGTGCGTTTCTCTCATCCCATACATAGTTCTGACATACGATTTCTCCCTCTGGCCTAACTACACATTACGATAGACCACGAGAAGCTATCGAATGCCTCAAGCGTGCGTTACTCGGCGCAGAGGATAACGATGTCCAACTTTGCTCAAGACTAGCCAAACTATACGACGAAATTGAGGATTACGCCTCCGCTGCAGAGTATCATCAACGAATAATCGATACGTCTGAACGTAAGTTATCAATAACAACAAAAAATCATTCATCGTATCATCTAAAATTTACCATACTTACCCATATACATATAAAATAAACTTGGTACATTGCAGGCGAGAACCGCCCCATCTTCACATACGCCAAATCCCTCGTCTACGTCGCGCGTTACCACTTCGAAAAGGGAGGCGGAGACATGGGGTTAGCGCATGACTATCTGGAACGCGTAGCGGAGAGTAATGCGGAAGAGGTGATGGTGGCGAATGAGATGTTGAAACGGATGGCGATTGTTGTGGATAGTGAAAGTTGGAGTTATAGTAATCTGGCAAGGGCGGGGACAGGGACGGCGGCGGGACAGGCGAATGGGAATGGAAAGGGAAATGGGTCGGGTGTGACAGTCGGTGAAGGTAAAAACGGTAGTGGTAATAATGGAGGTAATAATGATGGTGGTGGTGGTATGTCTGAGGGATCGGCTTCTGGACCTGGAGCAAAATCTGGTGAGAGTGCTGGTCCGCACGCATCTGCACCGACGGGTCCTTCAAGCTCATGATGTCGAATCGAGGCATACATGCTGCCTGATATATTGGTATTGCCCTTCATATTGTTGAAGTGTAGATTTTCTGGGTTGTAAAAACACTTCACTGTTTCTTTTCTTTTATATATGTGTAATCATCTTTTGTGAGCATGTACAAAACATCCATCCCCTAACATTCCGATTTCGACAGCTAAGAAGGCACATTTTTTCTTATAATACACACATGGTATATGAATGAAAATAAATTAAAAAAAGGTGCGATATAAGTGGTATGTAAAGTGGTATGTAATATGAACCTTGGTTAGGAAATACGACGAGTAGAAAACTGTGAAGACATGAATAATACAAAAAAAAATACATGAACCTGCAAATGCGAATGTGAAGTATAACTTACTATAAGAACGAAAGAAGAAGTGTAGGTCGTGTGTCTACAAAAAACGGCTCCGAATCCGAATCATTAGGTAGTCTACATAACTTGTAAAAAGGAAAAGGAAAAGGGACGGAGAGGCTACCGGCGCCAGGTCTTGTCGTACAAATCATAACAAGTCATCTACACAAGAAAGAAAGGAATGAACAGAAAGTAAAGTCCAAAAAGACATCGTCGAATACTCATCAACACAAGTATCACTATCACTTCTTCCCCTCCTTGTCCTTGTCTTTGTCCTTGTCCTTGTCCTTATCTTTCTCTTGAGAATTCTCGACGGTCGAAGAAGGCTGCTCAGCATACGAATGTCCTCTCGACAGAAACCCAAAACCCGGGATCTGGATGGACGGAGTTGGGAGTCGTAAACTGAGTTTCGAGGTAGAAGTTGACGAGAAGAATCTGGTTCTTCCTTCGGGTGTTGGTGTTGAGGTTAAGGCAGGTGCAGGAGGTGAAGGTAGAGATGTGGGTAAGGGCATATGCATATCTGGTCGTACACGCGATCCACCACCACTTCCACCCGTACCAGGACGCATAGGAATGTCGTTACTCCGTCCTGAACGTGAAGATCGGGGACGGTCGTCGAAATGTACACTCGGAGGTTTATTACTATTGTTTCTGTGAACTTGGTGGATTTGTTTTTTGGTTTCGGAAGTTGGTGTACCGGTGGGTGAGGAGACGAGTTGGTCGTTCGATGAGAGCATTCGTGGTTTCTCTCCCTCTCCTCCTCTTCCGAGTTCGTGATCGCCAGGGAAAGGTAACCCGTCAATACTATTATCAACACCTCCCCACCTCGTCATCTTCCCATCTTCATCCATCGAAACAGGCTCCATATACGTCTGGACAGTTTCACTACCATCCCCGTTCTCCTTCCCCCGCTTCTCATCCCACTCCTCCCTCCAAAGCGCATGTAACTGCCTCGCACGCACACTATCCATCCCCTCCGATGACTGTCCACTCTGTCCGCTCTGCGTACTCGGTCTAGCGAGTCTCGGTGCAGGTGCAGAACGCGTGGTATCTACACTCCCTATTTCTCTTCCTCTTCCTCTCCATCCTTGAGCTTTCAAAGTCGCTCTTCTTCGTGCTCGAACGACAGTCCCTCCAAGTCCACTAAACCTCCCCGCAAGTGCGTCCATACCAGGCTCCTCAGTAGCCTCCAAAAGCTTCTCTTCATCCATCTCTCCCTCCCCTCCTTCCTCTCCAGGTGGTTTCACCTCCTCCCTCGCAGCTTGCAACAACATCGTCGTCTTCCTATCCAACTTCGACAGTCTCCTCGGGTCAATTTTCGACATTTGTAAGATAAAGATACCGGAGCAGATGACGAGGAAGGCGAGTGCGATTGTTATTATTGCTGATGCGCTTGCTTTGAGACCTTGGTAGAGGATTATAGAGGTGACGAGGGTGAAGAATGTGAAGAGGACGTAGTAGGTTGGTGTTACTATTTGTTGTTAGGTTAGTAGGTTGGTTGAGTTTGAAGGGGTTCGGAGAAGTGGGAAATGACGAACCCATTGCTGGAAAATGAAACGAAATTAGTTAGGGGTTGATTCTCGTTTGTGAGTCGGGGGGTGACATACCAGTGTTAAACAGAGCCAGAGCAACGTTCAAGTAGTAAATCTCCGTCACTATTGCAATGTTAGGTCGACTCGCAATTCTTATTGAAACATTACTCACACAGTGTGCAAATGACGAACACAAGGAGGAAATAAATAAACCAGTTTTTAAACTGAGAAGGAAATTCACAAATAAGATTAGCAGACGAGGATCAGTAAACCACATCAACAAACAGTTCTCACCTGATTCTGCCCTCTAATACTCGTCAAAATACACGCTCCCAACCCCTGCGTACAACTAACACTAATCCCTCCAATAAGCGAACAAACAAGGATATACCAAATCATACTCCTCGATCCATACTTCGGCGCAACGAAAAATATAATTCCCAGCGAAACAGCAATACACACGCTCCCATAAGATAAGAAACCAGGAGCGAGGAAGAGTTTCTTGAATGCTGTGATGGTTGAGACGGATTGTTCCTCGGGACCGTTAAGTGCGATGATTATTGCGCCGAGGATACATTGTGTGCAGCCGATCCAGCCGAAGAGTGTGAGTTTTTCTTTGAGGATTAGGTGGGGGAGGATGGCGGAGATGACTACTGAGAGTGCGCCGAGTGGGGTCTTTTTGTTTTTTGTGTGGATGAGATTGTGAGGTGTTGGACGGTGGGAGGGGACGTACCACTACTATTGCTTCGACAAAAGCATATGCTAGACAAAGGGACAGGTTGAAGATAAGGTAAGGAAATTAAGGTGGAATACGCTGCTCACCACCGAAATTGCATAGTTCCCCACAAATCATCACTATCAAGGACATTAGTCCAATTCTACAACTTTATATTCGATTTATGCTCCAACATACTCGTCATCCCAGTCCACCACATGGGCTGAACAAAGTCCACATTTCCTTCAGTTGCAGTCCAACACGATAAAATACAAGAGCAACCCACCGACTTAAGGTATGCCACACCCTCACCAGCAGCATGTCCAGCTTGCGACTTCAATAACCCCTTCTTCTTAAACACAAATGACGTCCCGATAAGCAGACCGGAGCCAATAGCCAGAAGTATGCCGACAGTTCTGTATTGCGTCGGAGACGACGCATTGTTGGAGTCGGACATGCTCGCTACGAGTTGCTAGCTAGCTGCCAACTGCCCCGGTTGTCCTCACAGACAATAAGATAGGAGAGACAGGAGTGAGGAGAGCGGTCGTACTGTGAGAAGGGAAGTGTGTGCGTGGACGTGCAGGAATGAACGAATGCAGGAACCAGGCTGCCTTCATCGCTCCACTTCTTTCTGTCGAGACAAAAATAGAGTAGTCTAGTTCCCGCTAAGTCGCTAATTAGCTGCCGTCTTTCCACGTGACGCGGATTTGCGTCATATGAGCAACTGTATTACTTCACTCGACTCGAAAGTTCAGCCTGGTTGAGATGAGAATCGCGGTATCTCTCTACTTTTTACCACCACGTTCGCGTACAAGTTCTTAGCTCCTCTCAGACAGAGGTTTTTATTTACAAGAAACATGGCGCGTAGTGCAGAGACCGCTAGCTTCAGTGTATGTAATTTGAGGAGAAAGGTCAGCCTAGTAAATGTACTGACGGATGCTAATTCTACTGATCAGTTCAACCATACGATGCTACGAGTCAAAGACCCGGAAGTTTCGCTCAAGTTCTATCAGGAGGCAAGTACACTTTCTCGTTCGCCTGGGAGCTACGGTATAATAAGTTACTAAGCCTCCAATATATTGTATAGGTCATGGGTATGGACTTGATAGACAGTGCGTCATGATCATCCGATACTCCAATATTCGGGCATTTCGTCTCACGAGTTATTTATTTATTTATTGTTAGAGTTCGCATTCCCAAGCTTTACACTATACTTCCTCGCCTTTGATCACTCAAATGGCGGTGATTCGGCTGAGGTTAAGAAGGCGGGTCGGACGGCTCGTGAAGGTGAGTAAGGACGCATATACCCACCTCAGTCCAGTCGTATCACACCGTTTTTATCATATTAGATACTAATGATATCTTTATATAGGAATCCTCGAACTAACACACAACCACGGCACAGAAAACCAACCCGACTTCAAATACGCAAACGGGAACTCTGATCCTGGCAAGGGATTCGGACACATCGCAGTTTCAGTTGACGATATCGAAGCTGCTTGTGCTCGATTTGAGAGACTCGGCGTACCGTTCCAGAAGAGACTTACGGATGGGACGATGAAGCATATTGCGTTTATTAAGGATCCTGATGAGTGCGTCTTACATTTTTTTCATTTTTTTTGTCCGATGATGAGAGAAATATTTGTTGGAGGGGTTGATTAATGCTGATGATTTATTGATTTATTGACTTATTTTTTGATGTTTGTAGGTATTGGATCGAGATCATCTCTTCGCACCGAAAGCCGGATGAAGCATAATTGATAATTCAGCATATATGGAGAAAAAAAGTGTCAATGTCAATTGTAATTTTTCTCGACGTCAACAAATGCAAATAATATATGTTGTGAATATGTACTTATTATATCAATGTTATCATTGCTTTTTGTGTGTAAAGTACATATATTGCGATATTGCGCTGTTGACGTTTATTGCAATAACAATTTCCAAGGTAATAGTAGGGATTCTCCAATATTGCAGTATTGTAGTGATTTGCACGGATAACCATCCGGAAAATCTAAATGAGAGAGAGGGCGAGGCGTTGTACATAGATAGGAGGTTCGCCACCCTTGTTGCCAGCTGTAGCCAAGTGACCGAGGAATGACAATGAGTCAATGACAGATCGTTCTGTGGAACTAGGACAGTAGGACAGCGTGAGAGGTACAAATAGCGAAATGCATGTGGCAAAGTTGTTAGATTACAAGATTGAGAGATTTATCCGCGCGGTGAATGGTGCGAACAGAGACATTAATTTTGCTTGTCGCATATAAGTAAGCATTGACTAGAGAAGACATTAGACAACCATTCCGAAAGTGGAGACGGAGACGGATGAACGGTGCGAGATATCCGAGTTTTGTATCGAAAAAAGGCTATTCAATTTTGATTCTTGATAGATAATGAGAGGTTAGACAGAAGACAGAAGACAGAAGGTTGTGTTCAGTTATTCTGAGGAGAACGCCACCGCTCGATCACATTTCAAGTAAGTCAAACTTTGGACGTCTTTATTGAATGGAATGGAATTTGGTAAAACCAAGAACGAATGCAATCAATATTAATGACCGAGCTGTGGTTCTATTTAAGTATAAGTAAAGCGTCTGAGCGCCTGAGAGGCGGCGGTTAGGGGTACACGGATTAGGTGGACCTCCGAGAGCGTCGATATTAAGCGCTACTTTCGTATGCACCCTATGTATCATTGTATCATATGTATGTGCCGCTGTGTGGTTGAGAGACCGACGGATGGGCGTTGCGTTGGCAGGTCAAGAGAAAGGGCGGTAGTGGCCGAGACAGGCGGCGCTCTTCGTTAGAGTGTGCACGTAGCAAAATCTTAACCAATGTGCGTGCGAGATGCGGGGTTTATCCTGTGTTCAACCTACGGGCATCTGCAGAGCGCATACACGTCGACAGACAACGGCGACAGGGTGTACTTGTAACTGGTATTTTCCATGCCGCGCCGGGCGGGTGCGGTCAGGGTTGAACACGTTAGACTGAACAGTACTGGTGTCGGAGGGAGACAAATTAAATTGAAATTGCTGACTAATGACTGCTTGAAAGAGGAATAATATGCGCGTGACCTTACTTTCGATACTGGCACTGGCACTGGCAGACTGCTTTGACAACCGGACACAGGCAAGTGAACCAGGAGTCCTCGACAGTGAGCCAATGCCTCGCGTCCTTTAATGTCCTCTTCCACAACCTCCATCCACCTCGACCCGGGCGAGCAATGGAACTACCTCTCGCCCGAGGCAATCCCCCCAAATGTCCCGACTACTGGAGAAGACAGCGTCGTGATCGCTCCCTGGCTCGAGGAACCGGTGAGCGCTTCTCCCTTTTTTCGGTCTGGGTTGTACTCTGTTTGATCTGACATACACCTCTTATAGCCAACACCCCCGAAACAGAAGCCAGTGACGCTGAACACGAAACGCTCTGTTATGAACTTCGTGTCCGTGCGCCAGGGAAGCACGACGTCTCTCCCCCGTGGACGGTCAAGCGAGTCGAACAGTTTCTGCGAAAGCTTCAGCTCCAGTGGGACGGAAAAGCAGTCTGGTACTGACCTGCGCAAGCCCAAGAGCATGAATATGTTCAATGTCATCAAGAAGAAAGTAAGCAGGATCGGGAAGGACGAGAACGTTACCAATGGATCCAATACGAACGAGGTCGTGCCACCTCTACCATCGCCTTTATTCTCGCAGTCGTTTCTACCTTTACAGACGCTTCCTCCTCCTGTCCCGAAGAAGCAGCACCGCAAAAATCGGCATAAGTCGCCTGCTCCCATACCCCCGCGGATACCGAAGGAGCCCGAGTTCACGCTCGACACGAACCTAGATGAGATGGATGGCATCGTAGACATGAGTATGAGGAACCATGAAGTGAAGGGTATCCTTGCGAACGATAGTGCGAGTGCGAGCTCGCCTGGTAGTGGCTTTGAGAGCAGCTACCAGTCTAGTATCTGGAGTGCATCCGATGCTAGCTTTCACCCACTTGCACCTTCTCCGCCTCCTCATAGTCTCTCTCAAATGACTCCCGCATTCTTCAGCAACCCTTTCCTTCCGAACGCTAATCTGAGCGGAGCCGCTCAGGCCGCCACGCACCGCCGACGCGGGCCACCTCTCGACACGCGTAAAATATCTCCGAAGACCCCTTTACCTCGACCCCCAGGGAAGAAGCCGGATCTGGAGAAGCGTGATGATGAGGCACATAGTCCTGGCTGGGCAGCACCGGAGAGTTGGGCAGTTGAGAGGGAGGGAGGTGGTTTACCTGATGTTCCAGACTACACAGACTCCGATGCATCAGATTCGATCGACAGATCACAGACCGTGAAGCAGCAGCGCCGGAAGACAAGGAATCCGAGACGTGCACAGAGCATACCGAGCTACCAGATTCGAATACACCGGAGCGATGGCACGTACCATGTTGTGAAGTGCCCATTGACTACGACGGTGGCAGAGCTGGTCCCTGTGATGAATCACAAGCTCTTCTTGGATGAGACGAGAGAGCCGCATAGCTTGTATGTCAAGGAGCGGGAACGAGGTATGTTACTGATTGGGATTGATTTTGACGAGTTACGAGTTGGTTTTTGATTGCTTCGCCACGCAGAGCGTGTACTTGCTCCGACTGAGCGGCCTGCGGATCTTGTTCGCCGACGGCTTGAACAGGCTGGATATGATGTTGCCGATGGCTTACCGTCGTTAGGGGCGGATGAGATCGGATTTCTAATCAAGTTCATTTATAAGAGTAATTTCCTGGGTGAAGCGGTACGTTTGTCATTGATCTATAACTGGTTGATATGCTGAATACTTGATCGTCTACAGCAAGAAGAGCCGATTGTGGACAACAATTTTGAGCTTACTGATCTTACTGGGCGAAGTCTCAAGACTATTCCAATTCTCTTGCACGCCAATGCACCCCGGATAGTTTTCTTGAACCTCTCAAGAAATCCAATGTTGGAAATCCCACTTGATTTCATCCAGTCATGTACTGCCCTACGCGAACTTCGTTTATCAAACATGGCGATGAAGAAGGTCCCGCAAAGTGTACGGCATAGTGCGACGCTTATCAACCTCGACATCTCATGTAACCGTATTGCCGATCTTGACGATTCTGGATTGGACCGTATTCCGCGATTGGGAACGTTAAAAGCGCAGAATAACAGGATCGACAAACTTCCACAGTGGTTTTCTAAACTACGTGCTTTGAAGTTCCTCAATATCTCGAACAACAAGTTCCAGGCTGTGCCTTCTGTCATTCCTGATATGACGAGTCTTGTCGATCTTGATATTTCATTCAACATGATCTCTTCCCTTCCTCCGGAAATTGGGTCGCTGAAATCATTACATAGTCTGGTTATGGTGGGGAACCAGATTTCCAGGTTTCCACCAGAGTTTTCGGGCCTCATCAACCTGGTCAATCTTGACTGTAGGCGGAATAACATCTCTGATCTTTCGCTCGTCTCGAAGCTACCTAAACTGGAACTCCTGCTAGCAGATCATAATGCCGTGCATGCCTTGGACCTTTCGGTTGGCCCGGATATGAAGTTCTTAGATTCTTCTCATAATGACATCACACAACTCACTGTCGCGACCATCGATTGCCAACCGCGAGATATTTACCATTTTCGTCTTACATCCCTAAACATCTCCCATGCGAAACTTAGTAGCTTGGACGATACCGCTTTCGTTCATCTCACTGCTCTGGAAGTACTCCATATTGATCATAATGCTTTTCGATTCATCCCCGAAACGTTGGGTTTGCTGACGCAACTCATTACGTTTACGTGTTCTGATAACCAGCTTGATGCTCTACCGCTGAGCATTGGGAATTTGCAGAGACTTGTTACGCTCGATGCGCATAATAATAGTTTGACGGAGCTACCACCGACGATGTGGCAATGTAGTTCGCTGGAGACGGTCAACGCGACGTCGAACTTGATTAATACGTTGCACGATCCGCCGAGTCCTTCTGCGAGTGTGGATAATTTCGAGATGGTGGATTCGTTTGCGCTTGCACCGCCTTTGAAGGATGTACCGAGGAAACCTTCTACTGCGAGTTCCGTGTTTAGCCAGGGTTCGATGCGATGGCTGCCGCCTTTAGCGAGGTCTTTGAAGAGGCTTTATCTTGGAGAGAACCGGCTTACGGATGACGTCCTACACCCATTATCGATGCTTCGTGAACTCCGGGTGTTAAATCTTTCGTTCAACAACATCCAGGAGCTGCCGTTATCGTTCTTTAGGAATATGGTTGCGTTGGAGGAGATCTACCTGAGCGGGAACAAGCTGTCGATGATCCCGACTGAAGACTTGCATCGCTTGACGAACTTGACTGTCATCTTTTTGAATGGAAATAAGCTGCAGGTGTTGCCGTCTGAGCTTGGGAAGTTGAAGAGTTTGACGGTGCTGGATGTTGGGAGTAATGTTCTTAAGTATAATATCAATAATTGGGAGTTTGATTGGAACTGGTGAGTACAGGTGTTATGCTAGTTGATAATACTGCGCGTTCTGACTGAATTGAACCTCTACAGGAACTTCAACAAAGCTCTCAAGTACTTGAACTTGTCGGGCAACAAGCGCCTGAAGATCCAACCGGACCACAGTCGCATGTCCATGGCTCACCAGTCAGCGTCAAATCGAAGAGTCCTTGCAGACTTTGCCGAGCTTACGCAGCTTCGTGTCCTCGGTCTCATGGACGTCACTGTTACATCTGGTATCCCAGAAGATGACGAACTGCGTCGAGTACGGACGTCTCTTTCCGAAGTTAATCAGATGGCTTATGGAATCGCGGATACACTCGGGAGGAAGGACGTCTTGGGTATGCTGGACGTCGTCGTACCAGAGTTCTGTGGACGAAGCGACGAGTGTATATTCGCGATGTTCGGTCGATTCGACGCATCTCCGATGAACAATAGAGTTTCGAGATATCTCGGGGAGAACTTCCTCAAGGAGTTCCAGCACCATCTCGAGAAACTCGATAGGCATGCGAAAGAGACTGTGCATGATGCTTTGCGGAGAACGTTCTTGGCGTTGAACAAGCGTATGCATGCGTTTTGGACGCAGAGTGTTAATCTTAGTCGGAAGATGTCTGCTGCGAGTACGGCTACGACTACGGCGGCTTCTATAGCGGGCGATCTCAATATTTTGCGGAATGGAGCGTCTGGTATTGTGGTGTATTTCGTTGGGAAGACTATTCATGTTGCGAATGCAGGAGATGTGTTAGCTGTGATCTCGAGGCAGGGGACAGCGCATCTTGTTTCGAGGAAACATGAGCCTTTTGATCGAGGCGAGACTGCGAGGATTCGTGCTGCTGAGGGATGGGTGTCACCGAAGGGGTTGGTGAACGAAGAGACCGATGTTTCTCGTTCATTTGGATTCTACCATCTCTTACCCGCTGTTAATCCAAGACCGGATATCGTGAGCTGGGAACTCTCGGAGCTGGATGAGTTCATTATTATCGCCAATCGTGGACTCTGGGACTATGTTTCATATCGGACTGCCGTGGATATTGCACGCTCGGAAAAAGATGATCCGATGATCGCTGCGCAGAAACTCCGTGATTTCGCAATTAGCTACGGAGCGGATGGTAGCACGATGATTATGGTTATCTGTGTTTCAGGTTTGTTCGCAGCACGGTCTAGACAGGCAACGGTTGGTTCCTTAGCTGAGGTGGATACGTACCAAGCACGGAAGCCGAAGCCAAAGGGCCAGGATATTGGCGATGTCCAGCTTTCGAGGTTGCCTCAGGAAGTCCTCGCTCCGACTGGTCATGTTGCATTAGTGTTCACGGATATTCGGAACTCGACGCATCTCTGGGACGCGAACGCTGGTATGCCGACGGCTATGCGACTGCACAACCAGTTACTGCGACGACAACTCCGGTTGTGTGGTGGATACGAGGTGAAGACGGAAGGCGACGCGTTTATGTGTTCGTTCCAGAATGTGTTATCAGCGCTCAAATGGTGCCTGACGGTTCAACTTGATCTCTTGCATGAGTCTTGGCCCTTGGAGATCCTTGAATGTGAGGATGGGAAGGAGATTTATGATAAGAATGGAAGACTTATTGAACGTGGTCTGTCTGTTCGGATGGGTATTCATTGTGGTACGCCGGTGTGTGAGCCGGACCCGATTACGCATCGGATGGATTACTTTGGGCCGATGGTGAATCGAGCGGCGAGGATTGTTGGGAGTGCGAATGGTGGGCAGATCATGGCTAGTGCAGATATTGTACGGGAGATTCGTACGCAAGTCCTAAACAAGAAATACGATCCGTCAGACCCGGCGTCAAAAGCGTTGGTTACTACGATAGAAGGAATTGGCGTTGAGATTGTCCCTGTTGGGGAACGTCGACTGAAGGGACTTGAAATTCCTGAGATACTTTCGTTGGTGTACCCGAAAGAACTCATTGGGCGGAGCGAGCTGATCCTTGCGGAGGAACCGGATGCTTCGGGGTCGCGTGTACAGTTTAGTGTTGTGCAGATGCGTGAATTGGCGACGTTGTGTGTACGGTTGGAGGCGTTGACTTCTCAACGTGTTTTACGACCTATGCCTCCGCGTAAGGGGAGCACGGCAAGTACGTCCGCCGATCAAGCAGCTGCAGCAACAGCGGACGCCACCTTGTCATCATCACCATCTCTCCCACAAGACGACGGAAGTGGCAGTAGCATCGACAATGTCATCATGTTCGCCGACCCTACAACGCTCATCCCGCATATTAACGATAAAGCAACCGATCGGGAGTTGATGGCGATATTGGATTCCCTTTCGATGCGGATTGAGAATGCGTTGTCGTCGATCATGTTGAGGAGGATGGGGGATACACCGCAAGAGTTGTTTGAGAAGATGCAGAGAGGTGAGGGTGTTGATGAACGGACGTTGTTGGATGTACTTGGTATGTTAATGGTGGCGCTGCCTTCGAGGCCTGTGATAGAAGATGTTGGTTCTTGATGTTTTTTTTTTGTGTGTGTAGTGTTTATTAGGGCTTTTTTTGGTGTTTTTTGGGCTTTGATTTTTCTTTTTCTTTTCTTTCGTTTTTTCTGACTCTCGTTCCCTTTGCTTTGTTGCTGCTTACTCGGTCCTGTAGCTTCCATCACTCCTTCACCTACCTCTGACCTAATTTCACGATTCCCTGTATATATCCTGTCCTCTAAGCTTGTTCCGTGTTTTTTTTTCTGTCTGTCTTACACTGTTTCCTCATTGCTCTTGTAGACTGCTATTGTTTCTCTGATTTGTACTGGCATCATTATTTCTCTCTCTTGTTTGTGTTTCTTTCGTTTCTACTTTCGTTTCATCTTTTCTTTTTTTTTTTTTGTTCTGATAATGTTAAACTTATTCCTGGACCTCTCTCCCTCTCAGTAGTTTTGTAACAGCATGTTAAAGCTAGCAATGTATAGTATATTACTTTTCCTTTAAAAGGGTTAGGACAAAGGAAAGAGATTGACACAACAGTAAGTACCAATGCCTGAAATGTAGGAGAGTTGTAGGGTAGTAATGGGTAGTCTTAATCTGATGTCAGTAACAGTGTAGAGGGGACCTGAAGGCTCAGCAAGGGGACCCAGGCTACAACTATCCTATACAACAGAAATACAGGATGTAAGCACTGGAACATAGTTAGAACTTGCAGAACAGGTGGAGAGAGAGAGTGAGACAAGAGTAGAGTATATAGAGTAAGCCTAAGAGTACAGGACTACCTGGAGTAGACAAGATCAAGACTACAGGACTAGTCTGATCTTGTATGCCTATATATACTAAACTACACAAGAGCACTCAGGGAGTATGAGCCACTAAGAATGATAAGCCACAAAGAATGAAAGAAAGGAATGTCAAAGATAAAGGTACAAAGAATGAAGGGATGGACAAAGGGTAAGAGACTATAGAATGAACAGAGAATGAAGGAGTGGTCAAAGGAATAGAATGATGAAGTAAGGAAGGGTAGTGGTAGGAGTCAGCACACATATAGTCCATAGACAGCACCTCTGAGGGACAGAAGTCCTGAGTTCTAGTACAGAAGGGTGCAGAACCCTTGGAACTGAAGGTAAGAGAGTAGAGAATCATAACACCTTCCTTCACATGACTTTATTTGTATTTCAAACTATTTGTACTTATTTTTTTTGTACACTGACTTGAATAATGATCATCAAGAGAAATTACATTCAAAAGAAAGTAGAGCATTCTTAAATTTTAAACTTTCTAAACCCTTTTAAACTTTTGCCACCCTTCTTCTATTCATTACCCCTTTTAGTTTAGTACTGATCCCTTTGTAGTGTAGACATGGACCCTACTATACTGACTGCCACCCCTACTGTCCTGCCAGATCAGTAGTTATGAGCAGAACTAGCTCAATATGTACAGACCTCTATCTAAGAGGCCTTTACCAACCACATACTCTCAGCCCCTTTGGAACCTGTTCTAATTGTTCTAGAAGTTGCAACCTGTTTCAGAAAGAAAGTACATGTAGCCTGCCTGTTGAGAGGGAGAACTTAAGGGGGGCACACATAGACAAGGGGTGAGGTGACAATTGACTACTCAGTGTCTCTTGTCCTTATATTGTATGTATTCTAACTGAGACATTATGAAGTCATTGTCTCATAGTTTGTCTGTTGATGAACTAATCATCTCATAATACTCCCCTTCAAACTCTTACTAGTCTGAGTAAACTGGTAAGATGTTTGACTTGTAGTACATGTAGCACTTTAGTTAATATATCTGCTTGTTGATCGTTCGTCTGTATGTATTTCACATTTATGTACTCTAACTCAATATAGCATTTAATAAAATCTTTCTTATAATCTAAATGCTTTGTTCGTTCCGAATATTTGAGTTCGTCCAATGTAACTGTTTGTATAACAGCATTGTTATCACAAAAGATATTAATTGGTGCATCAGAGACCTACAGAATCTCTTCAGCTAAATGTGTAAGTGTGATTGCTTCCTGTGTTCCTCTTACAAGAGCTATTAATTCAGCTTCATATGTTGAATTTGCCACCAGTGTTTGTCTTTTACTTGACCACAAAACTAATGAATTGCTCAAGTAAAATGCATATCCTGATATTGTATGATGCCCTTCTTGCATCATACTGTCTGTATCTGTATAACTGTTCAATATTGATTGATTTGTACTACTGAGTTGGAGCCAGACATTGTTCATAGTTTTTAAGTACATGTAACAATGTTTAAGTGCTAGATAATGCTCCATACTAGGGTCATTAAGGTATTTTGCTAACTGATTTGTTGCAAATACTATATCTGACTGTGTACAGTCTGTAATGTATCTAAGTGTGTCAACCATGTTCATGTATAGTATATCAGACATTTGTTTTCTATTGTTATCAGTTTGTAATACTGTTTTTAATTGTGTACCAGGCTGTATGGGTGTTTGTACACTTTGTTCGTTTGTAAGTTTGTAACATTCTATTATACTATTAATATAACGTGTCTGACACATCCTGATGAATCTATGCTCTCTGTCATGTTGAATCTCTATACTAAGTAGCTAGTGTAATTTGTTACTGTCTGTATATTGTAAATGATGTACAATAGATTGTTTTATCATTACAATAGTATTATTATTCATTACTGTGATAGTAATATTGTTGACATGTACAAATAATATGGCTACAGTTATTTCTTTCTTCTTTGTGAAGAATACAGCATTATCATGTTTGGATTTCGTTAATCTGTATTTAAGTAGTATATTAGATAGCATTTTATACCATCTTCTACCAGCTTGTTTTAATCTGTATAGTGCTTTTTGTAATTGTAATATTTGTCCATTCTGTAGTCTGTCTATTAAGTTACCTGGAGGAGGTTTAACATATATTTCCTTGTCTTCTGTCAATTGTCCATACAGATATACTGATTTTATATCTATCTAATGTATTTCATAATTATTAGATACTGCCCATGCTAATATTAATTGTACTGTAGATAGTCTAGCAGTAGGAGCAAATAAATCATCTGTATGATAGTCAAGGCTGTCAATCTGATAGTTTCCTTGAACTACTAATTGTGCTTTATATTTTTCTATGCTATTATCAGCATATTGCTTTATTTTATAGACAAATTGTGTTCTGATAATGTTAATATTATTGTGTGGATTTGTGATTTCCCATGTATTATGATTTTCTAATTGTTTTATTTCATCTTTCATAGCTGTAATCCATGAATCACAATCTGGACATTGGATTGCTTCATAAAATGAAGTTGGATCCGATTGTATTTCACTTATTTTAGCATTAAATTCTGTTAAATGAATGGCAATATTATCTTCATCCTTTTTGCTAAGTGCATACATGTGTTTTGTTACACATTTATTCTCCATACATTGTTCAAGCTTGATAGCACATTCTGTCAGTTTCTGTTTCTGTTCCAATCAATGTAATTTAGGTTCTACTTCTTTTTCAGTTAATTTAACTTTGTTGTCTGTTAAGTCTGTTGGTTCTGCTGTCTTTTTCCTTTTTGTTAGGTATCAGTGTTGTCTGTT